CTCGGCTCACCGCAACCTCCGCCTCCTGGGTTCAGGCTATTCTTCTGCCTCAGCCTCCCGAGTAGCTGGGATTACAGGCACGCGCCACCACGCCCAGCTAATTTTTTTGTATTTTTAGTGGAGACGGGGTTTCTCCATGTTGACCAGGATGGTCTCGATCTCTTAACCTCGTGATCCACCCGCCTCGGCCTCCCAAAGTGCTGGGATTACAGGCGTGAGCCACCGCACCCGGCCAACTTTGTAACATTTCTAAGGTAAGCTCTGGCTTGTAAGAAAAACAGTAGGTTCTTTTTAGGATCTGTAAAGTGTTTCTCTTGCTGCTACCTGGAATAAAACCTTTATTTTTCTGGGAAACTGAATGTTAAATTCCTGTTAACTCCATTTCTTGCTGGACTCTTAGCCATGTGGTTACTGGGAGAAGCTATGTATGTTAACAGTGCAGTGGGTTTTTTTGTTGTTTAGTTTTGAGACAGGGTCTCACTCTGTCGCCCAGGCTGGAGTGCAGTGATATGATCTCAGCTCACTGCAGCCTCTGCCTTCTTGTCTCTCACACAGGCAAACCGAGGGTTTGTGCGGCAGGCCTACCCAGGGTTGTGCAGTGGGGTCGTGCAGTGGGGGTCTGTCGTGTGGGCTCAGCCCTGTGGCCACACTCTTCTCGTCACCCTGACCCACTCTGTGCTCTCTAGTTTTGTCCTTTGTCCTTTTGCCTCCTACCTCCTGATACTGTTCCAGTGGTAAGGATTCATCAGATGGGGTGTAAAAACGATTCTGCAGACTCACAGGAGCCCGTGGGTGCAGCAGTGCACGCAACACCGTCCCCCACCTCCCAGCCTCTGTCCAGCAGACTCACTGGAGGCAGGTGTGCAGACGTTTCCATAGGTGGAAAGCATAGATACCGTCCTTACTGCTGTGCAGTTTGATTCTGGGTGAAAATGGAATGACTACAAAGTCTCCCCACCCTGTACCTTACGCGATGGCAGGACTTCAGTTCTTTTCATCCCTGCTGACTTGGACACTCCTGAACTTTCTGCTCCTTAGACTTCTGTGACGCTGCTGGTTGGTTCTCTTCAGACCTCTCCCTACTGTTCCTCAACTTTTGAGAGGGCTTGTCGTTCTCTGCCAGCCTCTTGAAGGCAGGGCCTCCTGGACCACCTCCAGAGCCTGTGGCGCCTCTCCCCATGCACTCCCCTTGTGTGATCTTCCTGCTTTTGTAGGCTTAGCTACTGCCCGTGTGCCGGTGACTCCCAAATCTGGGTCTCCCTGAACTTCACATTCATGCCCGACTGCCCACTGAGCACCTCCACTCGGAGTTCACACGCACAGGTGGGGAACGGGGCTCGCTGCTCCACCGGCACCGAGGAGTGCTTCTATTTTTAATCCATTGGCCTGATGTCTCCGTTTAATCCGGGGCCTAAGCTGGAAACCTGGGAGTCATCCTTGCCTCTTTGATCCGTACGAGTCACTCAAGACTGCCTATGTCACTTTCCCATGTCCTGTACCTCTTCCCTGCCTGGCTAACATTTATGCTGAGAGACTCAGCTCCCACCATTCAGAGACTCAACTTCAGTGGGTACCTCCACTCACTGCCAGTAGCGACTTAGATCTTCTTTCTCTGTTTCCCAAATCCCTCGTGTCTCCCTCCGTTTCCCAAATCCCTCGTGTCTCCCTCTGAAGTGGCACTTGGTACAGTTCATCAGGACATTCTGTGCCTGTGGCTGCCTTGTCTCCTAGACTGTCAGATCCCTGAGAGCAAGAACCATCCTACTCACCTTTCCAGCCCCAGTGTCTCGTAGTGCCTGGAGGATTGCAGGTGTGCAGTCCACACTTGTGGATGGATGACTGCGACACTTGGGAACTCTGCTTGGAAGAGGAGTATGTCTCCTGGAGAATGTTTGTAGACAAAAAAATGCTGATCATCTTTTTTCTTTCTTTTTGTCAGATTAACGTGACAGTGTCAGGTGGACCCACAGCCATCCCACTGCCCGCTGTGGGGAGTGCTGAGAGTGGGGCAGCATGGAGGAGAGGAAGCATGAGACCATGAACCCAGCTCATGTCCTCTTTGACCGGTTTGTCCAGGCCACCACTTGTAAGGGAACCCTTAAGGCCTTCCAGGAGCTCTGTGACCATCTGGAACTGAAGCCAAAGGACTACCGCTCCTTCTATCACAAGCTCAAGTCCAAGCTTAACTACTGGAAAGCCAAAGCCCTCTGGGCAAAGTTGGACAAACGGGGCAGTCACAAAGACTACAAAAAGGGAAAAGCATGCACTAACACCAAGGTAAGCTTCGGCTCCTATTGGGCCCTGGGGTCACTGGTGAGGATTCACCCAGGTGCTGAAGAGGAGGATTGAGTTAGAGGTAGGCTGAGTGAGAACCAGGCAGAGTCTAGCAACAACTAGCATAGGAAGTCAGGCTTCCACCCTGTTGAAACTTTGTGGATCTCTTACCTCTTCTTGTTTGACTCCCGTGGCCCAGACCCTGTTCTAAGTGTATTTCATGTATTTACGTATTGAACATTCAAAGTTTCAAGTATTTAAGAATGACCAAAGTCAAGTGGCACAGGAACTTTTTATTTTGCTGAAGCTCTCTTTTGAGCTTACGTGTTTTGGAGGATGCAGGTCACTGAGCAGGGGCATAGCCAAGCCCTGCTGGTATCCTGTCCGAACACAGCTTTGGGGTTCTTGGCATGTTATCTTTCCAAACTTATCATTCCGTACTCAGTAGCTGGTATTTGCCAACTTAGGATTTGCCACAAGCTTCAGACCTCTTCCCATCCATGTTCCAAAGGTCTGTTTGATTCATAAGCAAGGACTTTGTGAACCAAAGTATTTCTGTTGCTTTCTTTACCATGTGGAGAAATAGGGTTTCCACGAAGCAGGTAGGCCTAGGCAAAGACCTGAGTTACGCACTTGCCTTTGCCAGGGTAGGTGCGAGGAAGCTGATGTGGAGATACATTTCCTGCTTCCCTCCTTAGAAAAACACCTAATGTGAGAAGTTTGGAACAAGCTAGCAAGAACACAAATTTGCAGATGACTTCGTGGCTATGTTATGTTCTTTCACGAGCTTTAATTTGTGCAACAGGGGATACCTAGAGCCCCACCCCCAGTGGATTTGCATTTGGGTAGATAATCATCAGCAAAATTCAAGAACTGTGAAGGCATGACTTTCGTGAGTACTGGACTCTACTAAAAACAAAACAAAACAAAGCCGAAAGCATTGCACATCCTCCCTCTGCACACACACAGCAAACTGTTTAAGATATGTGTCCGGTCTCCCGCTGAGTACTTCTCTGGAGTGTGGATTTTCGAGATCATGTCCCTGGACTTTCAGTCTGGACAGGGGGATTTTGGAACTCTTTTCAGCACCTAAAACTTCGGCTCTTGAAAATTGCTTTCTGGGAATCACATTTGTGGTAGACTCATTCCAGGAGGCTTGAGATTGCCTGGCTTGTGTATGTAGTACTCTGTATCTCTTTGGACAGAAATCTGCTTGATCTAGAAACCTTCCAAAAGGTCCTCTCCTGTTGATGTAAGATTGTATGTGATTTTCATACCATTTGTTGAGATGATGCCAGTTAAATATGCTGCAGATCAAGGGCCTTCCAGCCATTGGGCCAAGGGCCTTGCCAGGCTTGTCTCCAGCACTGACGGTTCTGTCTTCTCCACCATGATCATTAGCTCTTCTCTTAAGCCGTGGCAGGTGCTCTGCTGTGACCTGTGCAGGTGCGAAGGTTTCTTGGGAGTGGGCAGAATAGCCCTATTTTGGGGGCTTTAGGGAGCGATGATTATACAATCATGAGGCTTCTGTAGAATTGTTTCTTGAAAGTGCCGCCTGCCCTGAAAGCAGCTGTGTTTTTCAGTGTCTCATCATTGGGGCTGGCCCCTGTGGTCTCCGCACAGCCATCGACTTATCCTTACTGGGGGCCAAGGTGGTGGTTATTGAGAAACGAGACGCCTTCTCCCGCAACAACGTCCTACACCTCTGGCCATTCACCATACATGATCTTCGAGGTCTGGGTGCCAAGAAGTTCTATGGCAAGTTCTGTGCAGGAGCCATCGACCACATCAGTAAGTAAAACTAGCTCTCCTGGAGCCTTCCACTCTACCCCTCACACACTTGTTCAGTGGAAAGACAGGTGGATTCGCTGAGGAATTCAAACACCACCCAGTTTCTTCTAACCTCATTCCCGTCTTTCTTGTAGTAAGTGGACTCACCTTAAAGTAAAGACACCTGCTATGCTGCTGTCCTGTAGTTTAGGACTCTTCACTGTGAGTGTGGAAGAGTGGAGTTTAACCTGTGAAAGGTGGAGTTTGGCTGGAGGATTTCTAAGTTAGGTCTTGGACTCTTCCTGAGCTCTTGCAGTTTGTGAGATGGGCACTGGGGAAACAGTGACAGTTTGAGTCTGGACCCTCTGGTGGTTCCTCTTGCAGGGGCAGAATTAGGCATGCGGCTATCTGTGCTGTGACCTGATACATGCTCCACTACTGTAAAGAACGAAGTGCTGTGGGGACACAGTCCTGGGGGAAGCCACCCTTGCGGAAGCAGCAGAGCCCTGGCCTGGCCTGGCAGGGAATAATGGCACTCCTCTGGTTAGGTGGTTCTGGTGCAGTCTGCACGCTCTTGCTGTACTTTTGTCACCTCCAAGCTCAGCCTGGGCCTGTGCTTTTCTGAGATCCTACAGGGTATAAATACAAGTTAATGCAATCAGTGGTGTTTCACTGTAAGTGGCCCACCAGAAAAGCAATTGAGAACAGACAGTGTGCATTATGAAACTGAAGGCTTTTTATTGATTATCATTAATGCGTTCAGGAAAGCTTTATCAAGGAGCCTTTGTTCTGAGCTTCCCCAGATGTGTCCTGTAAACACATTCAGTCATGGAACCTTTTGCTCTTTGCAGCAGATGTGCCAATTTATCAGACGCTGGCTGGCAGTGACCACATTCCACTGGCAGAGGAAGTGCGCTGCCCATCTGTTGGCTATAGTTTGTAAAGCACCTTGGAACCCACAGTTGTCTGCAAAAATTCTGTGCTAACGCAGAGTTTAACAAGTCTTTGGGAGTGGGACTCAGAAGGGTGGTGGCTGTGGTAAACTGGGGAGAACAAGATGACTTGAGGAAGATTTGCATTGCTCCTGGCAGATTAGACACAGGCGCCAGGGAAGTTTGGTCTTAAGAGAGGACCGAGGTCATTAACTCAGTGGATTTCTCTGCCATTTATCTTGGGGTTGAAAGGGTCTTTTACCAGGGCCTAGATCTTTATCGCGGTACCTTTAGTCCCTGCCACGTCTGGTGCCTGCAGGTGCTCATGGACATCAAGTAAATCACTTGGTCTCACTGTGAAAGTGAGCAAGTTGTCAGTCATTCTGGCCTCAGTTTCCACAGCTGTAGAGCAGGAGTTACGGGGGAATGGTAAGAGGATCAGGTTAGATTGCAGTTTCCTTTCCTTGCCTTATAAGAATGTGTGCTCATCAACCAGGGAATGGGCTGAAAGAGAGATGCCCACGGGCGGGGAGGTCGTGCAGCAGCTCTGCGTCTGACTGTGGGCTGCACCCTGTAGGTGCACATCTGCCTCCTAATCCAGCAGGATCCGGATATGCTGCCAATATGGCGGCCCTGAATTGGGAAGATGGAAAGGAGTCTTCTGTTGGCTACAATCCCATGTTGTCTCCAGGCTTTTGATTGTTTAGAACACTGAACCCAAGAGGTGGGAGTGGCCTGCGTGTTGCTCTAGAACCTCTCTTCCACTGGGTTATATTTGCCTTTAAGAAAGGAAGTAAGAAGTTACAGAGTGTGGCTTTGGAAACGTCTCCTGCCACAGCGGGCTTTGGGAATCTGAATGAAGAGTGCATAGGTGGCAGGGTGGGAGCCTGAGCTGTGACACAGATGGGCACCGCCTTCTCTGTGTGTTCCCACCAACACCATCTTTGTATTCTCCCAGGTATCCGTCAGCTCCAACTGATACTTTTGAAAGTAGCCTTGATCCTAGGCATTGAAATCCACGTCAATGTGGAATTCCAAGGACTTATCCAGCCTCCTGAGGACCAGGAGAATGAACGTAAGTCAGACTGGAGGAGTGAGGAAGGTGTGAGAGGGTTTTGATGGGTGAGGAAGATAAGATTGGGGGAGCAAGTCAAAGGCCCTCACGGGCTGGGCTGTTGGGGACTGGGTCTGCAGCCTTAGAGGTCGCAGGCTCACATGTGGTGGGAAGGGCCTCGTAGGCTCTCTGCAAGGCCTCTTTCCTTCTGTGGTTCCTTCGTCCCCACTGCTTTTTCTTTTTTAGATGAGAGTCTCATTCTGCCGCCCAGCCTGGAGTGCAGTGGCTCAAACTCGGCTCACTGTGACCTCTGAGCAATTCTCCTGCCTCGGTCTCCAGAGTAGCTGGGATTACAGGCATGTTTCACCATGCCAGGCTAATTTTTGTATTTTTAGTAGAGACAGAATTTCACCATGCTGGCCAGGCTGGTCCCTCGTAATTCCTGGCATCAAGCAATCCGCCAGCTTCTGCCTCCCAAAGTGCTAAGATTACAGGCATGAGCCTCCACGCCCGGCCTCTGTCCCCACTGTTTCTACATGTAGTCTTTTTGACCCAGGGTTTTGTGCAGTCCACGTGACTAGGTGTCTAGAGACAGTCCTGACTGTGAATGTGGTCTGCGTGGTGACCTCCATTTATTTGGTTTTGGTCCACAGGGATAGGCTGGCGGGCACTGGTGCACCCCAAAACTCATCCTGTGTCTGAGTATGAATTTGAAGTGATCATCGGTGGGGATGGTCGGAGGAACACCTTGGAAGGTATTGGTCTGTGCTCCTCTGCCTGGCTCATAGCGGAGGGAAAGCTGATGCTATCCTACCCCTGGGGTGCGACTGTGTGTGACCAGCGTCTACTCTTTTGAGAGTGTGAATGTGTGCTTCCCACCCTGATGGAATGGCAGGCCGCGTCTTCCTCTAGCCCACCAGCACTTGGGCTGCTGATTTTATTTTTATTTTATATATTTTTTTATTTTATTTTATTTTTGAGAAGGGTCTCATTCTGTCGTCCAGGCTGGAGCACAGTGGCATGATGATGCTCACTGCAGCCTCGATCTCCCTGGGCTCAAGCGATCCTCTCACCGTAGCCTCCTGAGTGGCTGGGACTACAGGCACATGCCACCATACCCAGCTAATTTTTGTATTTTTTGTAGAGATTGGGCTTTCTCCATGCTGCCTAGGCTGGTCTCGAGCTCCTTGGCTGAAGCAGTCTGCTTGCCTTGGTCTCTCAAAGTGTTAAGATCACAGGCATGAGCCACCTCACCTGGCCCGGGCTGCTGCTTGCAGGGCACTCCTGCTGGGGCACGAGGAGACGAGCCATACTTTGAGTGGTTGGCATTTGTGGGGCTTAATCTACATATTAAGAAGCAGGTGCTACACACACACACACACACACACACACGCGCGCACGTGCACACCCGCGCAAACACACCCCTTTTTTTAAAGAGGAATCCCTAGTACTGACTAATATTCTGGTCAATCAGATTTCAAATTGTTTGTTAGTGGTTTGTTAATGGAGAATTTGACTTCTTTCCTGAAATTTCATATTCCTAGGTCAGTAAATACCTTATTTTCATCTGCAGAAGAGCTGCCCTAACTTTATTATCAGTTCTCATCCCTGACTTTCCCTGATGTCTTTATCAGCACCTCCACTTTGATTTGAAGCGATCTTGCTTCTCTAGCCAACGATTATCACCTCTGAAAATTTCTTTCCCTCCAGGGTTTCGTCGGAAAGAATTCCGTGGCAAACTGGCCATCGCCATCACAGCAAATTTTATCAACCGAAATACAACAGCAGAGGCCAAAGTGGAAGAAATCAGCGGTGTGGCTTTTATATTCAACCAGAAATTCTTCCAGGAACTGAGGGAAGCCACAGGTTTGTGTTGATGTCTCCAGAGCCCTAGGATAAAGGTTTAAATAGCCCTGGTGACTTTTTCTTGGGGGTTTGGTGGGGCGGGTGGCCGTGGGTGTCACTCTTGCACTGTCTGCCCCTCCGCTGTCTTCACTCCTGTCCCTTGTTCCTGGCGTCATGCTTCCTGCAGAACGTGTTTCCTCCTCTTGTATTCTTAACCTCCCTACAGTGACTGGGCTGCTCTGGGTTTTGTTTATTGTTTGAGACAGGGCCTCACTCTGTTGCAGGCTGGAGTTCAGTGGCACGATCTCGGCTCACTGCAGCCTCGAACTCCTGGGCTCAAGCGATCCTCTCATCTCAGCCTCCTGAGTAGCTGGGACTATAGGTGGAAGCCACCATGCGCTTCTGATTTTTAGTATTTTTTGTAGAGACAGTTTCACCATGTTGCCCAGGCTGCTCCCAGACTCCTGGCTCTACTCACCTCAGCCTCCCAAAGTGCTGGGATTACAGGCATGAGCCACTGCACCCAGCCTGGGTTTTGTTTTTATTTGTTTTAAAGCGTTCGTTCTGCCTCTCAGTGCCTGCCCTGTGTTGTGACGCTGAGTCGTGGTGTTGGGTGTAGCCGCTGGCCAGTGGCTCCCTGGTTTGGTTGGGAAGCTGACTTTAGGCCTTCAAGTATGTAGGCTTCTTCCTGAGTTCCATCTCAGGCTTGAAGGCAAACCGTGTGTCATACAGCAGTGAGATTGTTGTATGATAGGTTTTGAATCACTCAACTTAGATATTTTGCTAAATATGCCATTCTCTTGTTTTCTAGAACTTCATTCTCTTGTTTTCTAGATTTCTTTCCATTACATCTGTTTTTTAGATAATTGAATTAGAAAGTCAGTAGTTCACTCTGCTTCCAGGCATCAAGTTGTCTATCCTGTTCTTAAGAACTTAGGAGATTCCTGCAGCTTCCTCGATGACTGTCCCGAGAGGCTTAACCCGATACTTAACCCAAACCCTGTTTAGAGGTCAGCCTCTTTTTTTTTTTTTTTTTTTTTTTTTTTACAGGGAGACTCCTGTCTCTACAAATTTTTTTTTTTTTCTTTTTTTTTTTTTTTTTTTTTTTTCCCCCATCCCTACAGTTCTGTTTACTATCAGTCATTGTTTTTAGGATCATTTGGGGTGTTGAGTGAACACAGAGAAACAAAGCTCCCTGTGTTTCCATGAACTGATGATGCAGGAAGTGAGAGTCTGGGCTTAGACACCTTTCCCTGCCTGGATTCTCATGGCTCTTATCTGCCCTTTCAGGCTGCCCTGATGCACCTTCATCTCAGCAAACTCTTACATGCACACGTTTGTCTTCTGGCCCCAGGTATTGACTTGGAGAACATCGTTTACTACAAAGACGACACACACTATTTTGTTATGACAGCCAAAAAGCAGAGTTTACTGGACAAAGGAGTGATACTGCATGTAAGCCACGGATTTCCTTCAAAACTCTTTCTTGTTGAAGTGGTTAATATCACCAAGAGAAAGAACTGATTGTCTGATGGGTTTTTCCTGCAAGGGAATGAAAATGAGCACTGGATGCATCTTCTGGTAACCCTTGATGTTTTCCAGTTTAGCGCCAACAACTCTTATTATAGCTAATTTCAAATGTAAATAAAAATGGGGGGAGAGTAGTGTGATGAACCCTCACGTGCCCACTGTCCAGCTTTAACTGTTCTCCACACATGGCCAGTGTTCTGTGAGTAATATTCCAGTGCACTCCTCCGTCACCGTTGGATCCTTGCAAAGCAAGTTTCAGACAGCGTTTCAACATAAATATTCAGTTCGGTTTTAGGTGATTTGGTTTCTGGTTATTGTGAATTCCATATATGACTGATTATTGGTTGGTTAGAGAGTTATCTTTTGGAAGGGGGAGTGGTAGAGGAAAGGGAGCATGACTGAGAAGCAATAATTGGTGTTTATGGGAGCCTGGTGAGGGTTCTGGTGTCACTGCAGATACAGTTTTCAGAGGTCCAGGCAGTACTGACAGGATCAGGCTACACTTAGGCCTCCTTATGACCACAGAACAGGTCTGAGCATCCATCCTAGCCAGGTCCAGCTCATCCTGTTTCTAGGTGACTGCATGGCATGCCCTGAAATAATGGTTTGAAATGTGAAGTCAGAAAACCACTGGGTGGATGGTCACTGAAGGAGAGTTTTTTATGTCTTACTTGGTCTCACTGGTCTCAACATGAGGATCCCTGTCCCCATGCGATGAGAGGAACGGAAGCGGAGGCACTAGTTGTGCTGATTCAGGCCTGTGCAGTTCCCACAAGAGACTCACAGTTGAATCTCAGGGAGTCCTTTGTCCTTGCAGGGTGATACGAATGCAGTCACTTTAGTCTGAGCTACAACACTACCTTATCCGACAGTGGAGAGAGGAGTGAGCTGCCGAGCATGTGCCTGCAGCACAGAGCCCCCCACTTTGTACCCGGGAATCTCCCATGTGTTTCTCCACACAGCCATCCTGCGTGCCTTCAGGGAGAAACAGAACAAAGCCGTTCATACAGTCTGCTCTCCCAAAAGCATAAGCAAGACGTATTTGGTTAGATGCTTTCTAAAACTGCTTTGCTGGTTATCTGGAACTACGTCAGCATCACATTGCTGGCAGTAAGAAATAGCCATTGAAGCAGTTCACATGCCATGGGACTAGGTGAAGACCTGAATCTGCCATCTAGTCCGAGCTGTGGTTATCAGTCAGCATTAGATAGGAGCAGTCTAGAATGCAAGACCTGGTTTACTTTTCCTAGAGGGCAGGGGCCATACCTCCAGTGTGTGCTGTTAAACACTAGACCCATGTGGCTGCTTTCTCAGTGTTGAACAAACAGTATTTCTAGGACCAACCTGAGTGTTTGTGTTTGGCTTTACCATCTTGTAGTGCCAGCTGAAAGGACCATCAGGGCCACTTAGAAACCATAGGCCCCACTTTCAGAGAGTCAAGGCTTGACTCTGTGCCGGGAACCTCCAAAACAGAAAAGGAGCTTTTCGGTCCTTTGTTCTTCTTTGTTTGTGGGTTTCTGTGGAGGCTTTCAGAGTCTTATGTACTATTTTGAAAACCCCTGTTCCATTTTCAATGTATTCCTTCCCAGCCTCCTGGACTACTATTGCTCCCACCTCCCTGTCTATTTGGCACTCAAGCATTTTTGGGTTCTTCCTTCAGGTGTTATGCAAGGCTGAGTGTTTCATGTGGTCCCATTTGACAAAAGCCATTTACTACCCAGAAGATAATGATTGCTGATAAAAATTTAAAAAAAACCTATAAAATGCCCTTTCAGCTCACAAAGTACTGTCAGGTAACTTATGTGACATTCAACAACCCTGAGGCAGATTGGATAAGATCAAAGGAGTAGTTACTGCTCCAAGCAAATGGAAAAGCCACGGCTGTGTGTTTAGATAGCAAGGCCTATGTTATTTGGGAATAATCCACCCCCCCAAAAAAAGAGGGGTTCCTCTTTTTTTTTGAGACAAAGTCTCACTTTGTCACCTAGGCTGGAGTCCAGTGGCACAGTCTCCGCCTGCTCGCCTCAAGCAATTCTCTTGCCTCAGCTTCCTGAGTAGCTGGGATTACAGGCACATGCCACCATACCTGGCTAATTTTTATGTTTTTAGTAAAGATGGGGTTTTACCATGTTGGCCAGGCTGTTCTCAAACTCCTGTCCTCAAGTGATCTACCTGCCTCAGCCTCCCAAAGTGCTGGGGTGACAGGTGTGAGCCGTTGTGCCTGGCTGCACCCCACCACCCCCTGCCTTTTAATGGTATAAAAGCTTTGGTTGTAGAATGTAGAGTCACTAGGGAGAAGGAGAAGCTGTGACCCCAGAAGCATGGTCTGGCTGAGTGCCAGGGTGTCTCCCTCCTTACCGTCTTTCTCTGGAGACAGGACTACGCTGACACAGAGCTCCTGCTTTCCCGGGAGAACGTGGACCAGGAGGCTCTGCTCAGCTATGCCAGGGAGGCGGCAGACTTCTCCACCCAGCAGCAGCTGCCCTCTCTGGATTTTGCCATCAATCACTACGGGCAGCCCGACGTGGCCATGTTTGACTTCACTTGTATGTATGCCTCCGAGAATGCTGCCTTGGTCCGGGAGCAGAACGGACACCAGTTACTAGTGGCTCTGGTTGGGGACAGCCTCCTAGAGGTGAGTGTGAAGCATGGCAGCCTTCTGTGGTGGGGGGCAGGAATAATTAGGAGTGAACCTGGGCATCGTGGGTCTTGGAATGAGCGACTGCAGCATTGTACAGCACAGGTGAACTCCCTGCAGGAGTCACACCAGGAAGGTGGGAGGGCTACAGGCTTCTGGGAGCCCAGGCCTATGAAGTATGAATGGGAATTCTGCAGCTTTTTTGACTGGCTCCCTACCAGTCTGGGAAGCAGAGCAGTTTGTTATTGGAACAGTTGCCAGATACTACTGTTGACAGCAAACTCTTTGTTCCTTAGTTTATTTTTCCTGTTTTGAAATGTGTTTTCTTTTTTAATTCTTTGTTTTATGTCTTATTTATAGCCTTTCTGGCCCATGGGAACAGGAATAGCCCGGGGCTTTCTAGCTGCTATGGACTCTGCCTGGATGGTCCGAAGTTGGTCTCTAGGAAGAAGCCCTTTGGAAGTGCTGGCAGAGAGGTAATGGGAAGCAACCCAGGGTTCCTTTCAGGAGAAAACTGAGGAAGGAGGGTTTACGCTTTAGGCAGAGTGCACATTCTTCCTTCTCCTCTCTGCTTTCTTAATTAAAGATGTTTTCATGTTGAAAAGAGAAAAGGCAAGATGGATTTCATAAAATCGTAGAAACCTAAAGATGGGTCCCCTGGAGTAAGTCTTTTCTTACTCCTTTGAAGTTAAATTTCTTATTGAGAGAGAAGAATTTAAAAGTAGCTTTGAAGTCAGAAGAAAATGCCAAACTGCTTATAAATTGTTTCTCAAACCCCTAAATGGGATATTTCGAAGCAGATTTTTGCAAATGTAATAAAAACCCTAGGATTTGCTTTCTGATAAAGAACTAATACCTTGACCAGAAGAATCAGAGAGACAGGATTGCCTGGATGAAATTGGGAGTTGATATCATTTTATTCTGTCTGTTATTAAGGCATTCTGGCTAAATATGGTGACAGTTCATTTCTGTCTTGATTTTTTAATTGAAGTAAATATCAGTATGCTTGGAAAAATAAAAGAGTGAATGTGTGGCCTTTTGCGTTGGAGGCGGTGTCCGTGAACGCTCATGGTGTCGGGCCTGCTGGCTCTCCTGGGCTCCTACCCCGTCGGTACTCGTGGAATCACTGGGAGTGGGTCTGGGAAGTGGGGGCTGATGTGGGGCTCGAGAAGACTGGTCAAGGATGAGGATTTGTCGGGCATGTCAGGTGACTACTGGGCTGTCAGAACCACCAGGAAAAGAGAGGGAGATTTTCACGGTGCTGGTCACAGCTCTGAGTGTATTGTTGTGTTACTGCAGGGAGAGTATTTATAGGTTGCTGCCTCAGACTACCCCTGAAAATGTGAGTAAGAACTTCAGCCAATATAGTATCGACCCAGTCACTCGGTATCCCAATATCAACATCAACTTCCTCCGGCCAAGCCAGGTGAGACCCTTCTTGTCAGCCTTTACATCTGGGCCCATCTGCAGAACTGATCAGAACTCTGATCTGTTGAAATGCATGCAGCTATCAATACCACACATACAAGAATACTTTTTTAGTAATTTGGATAGATGTCTCTCTGAATTGGTAGAAGTAGATATTATTTTCCATCAACAGATTGAGAGCTAGGGCATAGAGTTGTTGAAAGACTTACAGAAAAGCAAACGTGATAGAAATGGTGGGCCCAGGGTTTTATGCCATGTTTCCTAATTCAGATTCTTACTGTAGGGAAGAGCACTTGCCCCGCAGTGAGGAGAGGGAGCTTCTGATCACCTGTGACTTGCTTTCTCTGAACCTCAATTTCTTTACCTGAAAAACAGGAAGAATAATTCCTGCTACTCATAGGATCATTGTGAAGGCAAAAGAGATAATGTTCACTTGAAAGAACTTCTTCTAGTATTTTTTTTGAGATGGAGTCTTGCTCTGTTGCCCTGGCTGCAGTGCAGTGGTGTGATCTCAGCTCACTGCAACCTCTGTCTCAACCTCCCGAGTAGCTGGGATTACAGGCATGTGCCACCATGCCCGGCTAATTTTTTGTATTTTTACTAGAGACAGGATTTCACTATATTGTCCAGGCTGGTCTTGAACTCCTAACCTTGTGATCTGCCCACGTTGGCTTCCCAGAGTGCTGGGATTACAGGCATGAGCCACCGCGCCCAGCCTTCAGTGTAATTTTCTAGTCACCTTCTACTTGAAGTTTATATCTTTGGGCCTTCTGTTAAGAGGCAGCATTAATAGTTCAGCTGAGACTCTTAGAGGGACCTCCATGGCCAAGTAACTAATTTTTTTTTCTTTTTTGAGATAAGGTCTTACTTTGTTGCCCAGGCTCTCTGGGGTGCGGTGGCACAATCTCGGCTCACTGCAGCCTTGACTTCCTGAGCTCAAGTGATTCTTCCACCTCAGCCTCCCATGCAGCGGGGACTAGAGGCGTGCACTGCCATGCCCAGCTGGTTTTTAAATATTTTGTAGAGACGAGGTCTCCCTATGTTTCCCACACTGATCTTGAACTCCTGGCCTTAAGCAATCCACTGGCCTCAGCCTCCCAAAGTATGGGGATTATAGGCATGAGCCACTGCACCCAGCCCTGTGTAGCTAATTTTTAGCACAAGATCCCACAGTTAATATGTATGTGTATTTCTCTAACCCCACCTTATTTTATAAAGGATTTAAAGGTCATCATCATAACTTCAGTCTGAACTTTGCCCAAGCTTGTATCCCAGTCTGTCCTTTCAGCCATTCTGCTCCTAGGTAGGAATTTGTTACTTGATATTTGGTTTTCTTTCTGTTTGACTTTGTAAATTTCTGCCAGGTACGCCATTTGTATGATACTGGCGAAACAAAAGATATTCACCTGGAAATGGAGAGCCTGGTGAATTCCGGAACTACCCCCAAGTTGACTCGCAATGGTGAGTTCTGGCAGTGGCTTTTTAAAATGCAGCAGACCCTTCAGAGAGGCCTGTACTCATTCACCGATCCGTAGAGTGTGGTCTCAGGCAGAGGCTCTCAACCAGGGGTGATTTTGCCCTCCAGGGGTTTCTTGTTAGTGTCTGGGAACATTTTTGATTATCATGATTGGGAGTGGGTACTACCGACCCCTAGCCAGGGACGTTGCTAAACATCCTGCAATGCATAAGACAGGTCCCCACCACAGAGAATTACCTTGGCCTGAGATGTTATGAGAGCATAGAAACCAGATGCAGATGCTGGGCAAAGGGGAGAGACGGAGAGAGTGTGAGAGCTGTTTTGATAGAAGACTTTATGGAAGAGGTGGTGGCATTTCAGCTGGGTTCTGCAGCACTGCCCGGATTCAGTGACAGGTGAAGGTCACTCCAGATTTTGTATGTATTAAAGGCCCTGAAGACTTTTCTGAAAGAGAATGACGTGAGCACACCTGGTCAGCCACACAGGAGAGGGGATGGAGGAGGGAAGTGCCAGAGGCAGGGAGACCAGGTGGAAAGACATCGCCATCGTCAGGCCGAAGGTGGCGAAGGCCCAGATCTGGCCCTGATGCTGGGGGTGAAGAAGGGAGGAGGTAGCGGAGAAGACCTCAGACTTTGGGTAAGGTGCAGCTGGGTTCCAGGCCAAGCTTTGCCGTTAGTGAGTGGTGCAGCCTTGAAGAGGTGATTGAACAGCTCTGAACTTCCTTGTCTGTGAAATGAAGGCAGCAGTGTGTCCCTCACATTGTGATCATGAGTGCCGGGCCCACAGTGGACGGTCATTACCGTTGTCGGTTATGCGAGAGAGAATGGTGAGGAGGTAGACTCGATGGGCAGGGGCAGTTGATCGCCTCATGGGGCAGGAGGTCGGTGTTGTAGATGGTGCTGCATCAGTGTAGGCAAGGCAGAGGGAGGGCTGAGAGGTTTGAGTCGTTTGGACGTCGTGACCTCGGTGTGCCGTTGGGATGCCAGGGTGGATGTGAGGACCAGCAGGCAGTTGGAAACAGTTGCCTTTTTCTCCAGTGGAGCGCATTCTCTCTGAAATCAGAGAGTGTATCTTTATCACTGTTTTTATTTGAGCGCCTGGCATATTGAAGTTGCCCATACATATTGCGTGGTTGGATATACAGACCTGGGAGACAGATCTGTGTAAAAGCTCTTTTCTGAGCCAAGAGATGGCACCAGAAAGTGGTTCTGTGTGTTATGGAGAATACATTTTCATGGTGAAAAACCCAAATGAAACAGGATTTTCGCGATAATCCTGTTTTTATCTCATGTTCACAAATTACTAAATGACTTAGTACAAACTTCAGTTTCCCTCAGTAAGGGAATAGACTTTCTTGGACATAAATAGCTCACAGATCCTCACGCCTGTAATCCCAGCACTTTGGGAGGCCAAGCGGGCGGATCACCTGAGGTCAAGAGTTTGAAACCACCCTGACCAACATGGTGAAACCCCTGTCTCTACTGAAAATTAGCCAAGCATGGTGGTGCATGCCTGTTATCCCCACTACTCTGGAGGCTGAGGCAGGAGAATCGCTTGAACCGGGAGGTGGAGGTTGCAGTGAGCCAAGATTGCGCTATTGCACTCCAGCCTGGGCAATAAGAGCAAAACTCCGTCTCAAAATAGAAACATTTCAGTGAAGCGTAAAGCATCCTAGCACATGTGTTTGCCTGTGCAGTTTTTAGAGTTGAGAATTCGTAACACAAGGTGCCAAGCTCCGTTCGGGGACTGTCTGGTCTGGGGCCCCAGCATTGTCAGCAGAGTCCTGCAGGGCGTCTCCTCTTGGCAAGTTGTGCAGTGCCTTGGGTTGAAACTGCCACCCTATAGGATGGAGCCTTCTCTCCTCTCCTCTTCCAAGTGTTACTTTGGAGGAGGATGCCTTCCTCAGCCAGGTGCTCGCGACTGTCCGGGAACTCAGAGCTGCTGTGAGCCAGGCTGGCCACAGTAGGTGGCGTTCCTTCACCTCAGTACCAGGGGACAGTGGGCTGTGGCTGTCGGGCTATGGTCCCTCAGGGTGCTGGGGTGTGAATGTTGACCTTAGACTCTGAATAAACTGCTGGTGCCTTTTCTATTAGAATTCACTATTGTGATATCATTTGCATAACCTTGCATCCTCACTGTTTTCTTTGAATGGAAACTAGTGTTGACTGTTTTGTCCTTACCCTCAGTAATTTTTCAGAGTGGACGTGTGTCCTGCAAAGAGGATTCTGTGTCAGCGTTATCAGTGACCACACCTCCAATAATAATGTGTTTTGTTGTTTTAGAGTCTGTAGCTCGTTCAAGCAAACTGCTGGGTTGGTGCCAGAGGCAGACAGATGGCTATGCAGGGGTAAACGTGACAGATCTCACCATGTCTTGGAAAAGTGGCTTGGCCCTTTGTGCAATTATCCATAGATACCGCCCTGACCTGATGTAAGTCGTGATCAAACTTTCTGTTTTATCTTATATTCCCAAGGATCTCAGACCACTCTGCTGTCAAGTAACATTTTGTCCTTTTTCCTAGAATGAGGTACATAGTAAGGTACTTTCTGCAGAAGGCAGTGATTTTGATTTCGCTGTATTTGGTTTTTTGTTTGTTTGTGAGACAGAGTCTCCATCTGTTGCCAAAGCTGGAGTACACTGGCATGACCTTGGCTCACTGCAACTTCTGCTGCCTGGGTTCAAGAGATTCTCTTGCCTCAGCCTCCCAAGTAGCTGGGATTACAGGGCTCGCCATCAGGCCCAGCTAATTTTTGTATTTTGTTTTAGTAGAGACGGGGTTTCACTCTGTTGGCCAGACTTGTCTTGAATTCCTAACCTCAAGTGACCCACCGGCCTTGGCCTCCCAAAGTGCCAGGATTACAAGTGTGAGCCACCATGCCTAGCCCGATTTTGCTATATCTGAAACTCTGTATATCATCCATTATGTAGCTCAACCCAGAAGTGATTTTTATTTTTTTATTTTCCAATAAGCCTCTTGCACTCCTGTGGCTAAGATTTAAAAATTACAACACTCGTAAGTTAAAAACTGGTTTTGACACCCACCTGGGCCTGTTAGCTTCACACAAAGAAAAACTGTTTATTGGCCCCAGGTTGAACTCTTCATTTTGGCCAGCTCTCTCTCAAATCCTATGGGTCACAAGGGAAACCTGACCAGAACATTTGGCCAGCTCAAGGCAAATGTGTCACTATTAACAAAACAAAACATCATGAGACTGAACCGATTTATGATGGTTCATCGGTGTGTTCTGTGTGCTAAAGAATGCACTTTTTACAGACATCCTCTGTTGTCCTGCCCACCTATCCCAGTGACAGCTCCTTTGGCTGTTCTCCACACACCTGCGCACAGAATCAGCGCTCTAGGGTGACCCCAGGTCAGCTGCGGGGCCAGCACATCCAACTTCCCCCGTCAGCATTTGTTCCACAGAAGCCAAACAAAAGGATGCAGGAGCAGAGCGTGTTGCTTTATTTTGGCTTCCTGTCCTTTTCATCATTAGGTCCACTTAGGAGCCGGGTTTCTGTTTGTTTTGTTTAATGATTGCTTAAGGAATCCTACAAGATATAGTTGCTCTTTATATGATGGTTATAAACTGACGAGGCGAGAGCTGGTAAAAACAGCCCTGCACAGTGTGGATTACAAATGGGGATTTCTGATGTGCTTGGATGGAGGTAAGTGACTCCTGGCTCCTGTCGCTTAGCTCACCCAGAAGTTGATAACAAGTAAGTAAAAATAGGGCTTACTTACTTCCACAAAGAAAGGGGGTAAGGCAAGGAAAAGCAGCTTGGGAAAGATTGTAATCAGTGGCAGAGGATGGGCAGGTGAGTCAGCTCAGTTCCAAAGGGAAGGCAAAACAGAGGGCACAGGCAGAAGCGGTTGGCGGAGCTTAGCGTGGGGGTGGAGGGGTGCTTGGAGAAGGTTAGGGACCATCTTCTAGGAAGGCCAAGCAGCACAGAACAGCACGGCACTATTCAACAGCAGCGAGGGCGTGGTATCTGAGGCTGCACCCACAGTGAGGAGGAGTTAGAGAAAATGGAAAAATGCTGTGGGGTCCTAGGTTAACACAGAACAAGGGCTGCTGGGTTAATCTGAAGTCATGTAAAGAAGGCGATCAGTCTTCACTCTGAATAGCAAGAGGCTTAAATCCAGTAGAAAATGGTCATAAATCTAAATAGGAAACTTAGTAATGGAAAAAAAATTTGAGGAGGATTTTGGAATTTCCCCTCCAGGAGAAGACTAAGATTTACCCGAGCTGATTTAGGACATTAACAGCTTGTGGGATCTAAGAGTCATGGTGGGTGATAGTCCCAGGCCTGTAGGAGCAGTCTGATTCAAATAGATTTATCATGTTTTGACATTAGTTTAATATGTATGAGCCATACACAAGGATCAAGATATATTAAAGATAGTTCCTGTTACTTTCTATTTTTATTTTTAGAGACAAGGACTCGCCCTATTTCCCAGGATGGAGGGCAGAGTGGCACAGTCATAGCTCATTGCAACTTTGAGCTTGTAGGCTCAAGTGATCCTCCTGCCTCAGCCTCCCAGGTAGCTAGGACTATAGGCACGTGCTGCCATGCCTGGCTCATTTTTAATTTGAATTAAGTTTTTTAAATTGAGCTCTTGGGCTCAAGCAGTTCTCCTGCCTCAGCCTTCCAAAGTGTTGGGATCACAGGTGTGAACCACTGTGCCCAGCCAGTCCCTATTCTCAAGCTTACATTATAGTAATAAATTTGTGTTACCAGAAAAATGAGAGTAGTTTTTCGACTTTCTCCTTTTTTTTTTTCCTTTGGTAGGCAGACCTTTAATCACTCCCTGAGGCTGCTTTGCTTTTTCTTAGTAAAGAGAACAAGAGGTGAGATAAAACAGGTTTGCTCTCAGGTGTCACTGGTGCACAGCACCCTGGTTTTTAGCTAAAAACAGAGAAAGGATGATGACTCCATGATACTGTGCTTTCTGTGTACGGCCTATCTTCATACATTTTCCTTGTGCTGTTTCTCAGAGATTTTGATTCTTTGGATGAGCAAAATGTGGAGAAGAATAACCAACTGGCCTTCGACATCGCCGAGAAGGAATTGGGCATTTCTCCCATCATGACAGGCAAAGAAATGGCCTCCGTCGGGGAGCCCGATAAGCTGTCCATGGTGATGTACCTGACTCAGTTCTACGAGATGTTTAAGGACTCCCTCCCCTCTAGCGGTAAGGCCTGGGAGGAGCTGCTGTGCCGCCCCTGCCGCTATGCTATGGCCCGGCTGCTCGCTCCTCCCCTCCCTCCCTCCCTCCCCGCCCCGCAGCAGTACCACCAACACACACAAAGTCACTCTGTGTTTTTACCGGTGAGCTGTCGGGGAAATCTCTGGAACTCTGCTTCATTATGTTTCCCTTCTCTGGTAGCATGTTCTCAACCCTTCATTCTTCCCCAGATCTTTCTCAGTGAATTTATAAATATGCAGAAATCGTTCCTGCACCATGACTTTTTCCATGACTCTGCCAGCTTCTAGTGCACGTGCTCTCAGAGCCGGCCTTTGTGAAGCAGCAGTGTGCACTGTGGCCTCTCCTTCTGCATGGCCCAAACTTCGTAACAGATTGTAACCTGGCTTGTCTTCACACCGCGCCACTGCAGCTGTTCCCAGGCAGGAGGATGCTCACCTCATACCCTTTTCTCAGTTCCCGTCTCTCACCACTTGCTTTTCTGCATTGTTGGGTGCTGGGGAGTGAGGTCCCTTTTCTTGGAATTCTCTCATCTCCTCAGTGTCTGTGATCCTGAGCCACTCTCAGCTTGTCCCCCTTCTTTCTCCTGTCACTGCCTTCTCTGGCTTCCCTTTCTACTCCTACCTCTTAGCGCTTCCCAAAAATCTTTGCTTGGCCCTCAGCTTGCTGCCTCAGGCTCTCATAGTGCTATAAAAAAGATTCCTGTTGTCATTAACTGTTCCTTGGAATAAGTGTAGCATAAGGCTAGAGTGTTGGCTGTGGGGTCTGACCTGGATTGACAGTTTCCCAGGCTTCCACTTAGCCTTAGGCAAGTTATTAAATTTTCCTTTCTCACTTTCCATCAACCTATCTTGTAAAATGGGTTAATGGGTATAAAATGGGGATAATATGTATAATTACATTGTGATGTGCCAAGAAGGCCATTTGGCCAGTGGAAGTACTTAATAAACGTTAGTGATTTACTATTAATTGATGACTGCTTTAAAAATTACTGTTGTTACTAATGAAACATTGAAATCCAAAAAGTTTGTGGTACCACCCTCCCAGTAATTCCCAGCCCATGTATTTTTGTAGGCATCTGTGGCTTTTCCTGGTTAGCTGTGCCATTCTTACAACAGAAAGCCACAACTCTAACACTGATACACCCATTCAGTGCCACCCCTGTCCGTGTGCAGCTCAGAGCGTGGCATCTGCATACACTAAAACCGGGAACTCCGAGTTCTTCTCCTCTCTGCCTTTCTCTGTCCTTCTCTCTCTCTCTGTCCTGAAATTTTTTTCACAAAAACGAGCCTTCAGCACCTGCTGTAACTTCCCAATCACAGCCAGCTTCCAACTTTTGAAAAACAAAAGTGCAGGTTTTGGTAACTGAAGTAGATTGGGAAGAAGAGTCATCTTTGTTTATATGAATGAAAAAAAGAAGGCTCAACGTCCATACCCAAGTATGCATTTCCTCCGTGGAGTCTCCTCCTGAGACCACATGCTTGTCATAGCTGGTGAACCTTTGGGGCCTTCGGAGGTTCTGCCGACCATCCACAAGGGAGAGTAGTTTTGGTCGGGATTTTGCGGCGCCCTCAAGGGCTGTGCTTAAAACATTGCTGATTTTGGCCAGGTGCGGTGGCTCAAGCCTGTAATCCCAGCACTTTGGGAGGCCGAGGCGGGTGGATCACAAGGTCAAGAGATTGAGACCATCCTGGTCAACATGGTGAAACCCTGTCTCTACTAAAAATACAAAACATTAGCTGGGCATGGTGACGCGTGCCTGTAATCCCAGCTACTGAGGAGGCTGAGGCAGGAGAATTGCCTGAACCCAGGAGACAGAGGTTGCGGTGAGCCGAGATTGCGCCATTGCACTCCAGCCTGGGTAACAAGAGTGAAACTCTGTCTCAAAAAAAAAAAAAAAACATTGCTGATTTCTGTCTCCAGACACTTTGGACTTGAATGCCGAGGAGAAGGCAGTCCTGATAGCCAGCACCAGATCCCCCATCTCCTTCCTAAGCAAGCTGGGCCAGACCATCTCTCGGAAGCGTTCTCCCAAGGTATGGACGAGTCTCTTGATGGGCTGCAAGGCTAATGGCAAGGTATGCGTGGTTAGAATAATGCAGTTTCCCTCCTCCCTCTGCACAGGATAAAAAGGAAAAGGACTTGGATGGTGCTGGTAAGAGGAGGAAGACCAGTCAGTCAGAGGAGGTGAGATTCATTTGGGATTTGCTGCAGTGGTCATGTGGAATAGCCCTTTTTGGTTTAAATCCTTCATTTTCACATTGGTATTGCTAGGTGTTTTCATGTTCATCCTTTATGAGAATTTCTATTGGGCTTTTTCTTTTCTTTTTTCTTCCTTTTTATTTTTTTTGAGACAGAGTCTTGCTCTGTTGCCCAGGCTGGAGTGCAGTGGTGCAATCTGGGCTCATTGCAACCTCCGCTTCCTGGGTTTGGGTTCAAGTGATTCTCCTGCCTCAGCCTCCTGAGTAGCTGGGGTTACAGGCATGTGCCACCACACCCAGCTAATTTTTGTAATTTTTTTTTTAAGACAGAATCTGGCTCTGTTGCCCAGGCTGGAGTGCAGTGGTGCAATCTTGGCTCACTGCAACTTCTGCCTACAAGGTTTAAGCGATTCTCGTGCCTCAGCCTCCCAAGTAGCTGGGATTACAGGTGCGCACCACCATGTCCACTAATTTTTGTATTTTTAGTAGAGATGCGGTTTCACCATGTTGGCCAGGCTGGTTTCAAACTTCTGACCTCAAATGATCCACCCACCTTGGTCTCCCAAAGTGCTAGGATTACAGGCGTGAGCCACCACACCCAGCCAAATTGTTCTAATTTTTTAATAGAAATGGGGTTTCACCAGGTTGTCCAGGCTGGTCTTGAACTCCTGGCCTCAAGCGATTTACGCGCCTTGGCCTCCCAAAGTCGTGGGGTTACAGGTGTGAGCCACCGTGGCTGGCCTCTTTGGGTTTTTTCTGTGGATGTTTGCCTTTGTTTAGTTTTCCAGAGCGCACCTAGGGATGCATACACGTGTGCTGGGGCCTCCTTGTGTCTTTGTTTCACATGTGTCTGAGGGCGGTGGCTTTCCCGGGATGTGGCAGTGCCATCACAGGACCCAGTACTCTTTAGACAGCCCTAGTTCCAGGCTTGCTGTCTCCTTGTGGACACAAGAGCCTTGAGAGCTGCCAAGCTTAACCTAAAGCCAGACCACCAGTCCCCTTGCCAGGTCCTGAGCGCACTTCTGTGAGGGAGGGGTATGGGGGGAGCGTCCTGTCACAGCGCAGTCGTCTTTGGGGTTGGTGTTGACCAGGAGGAAGTTCCCCGGGGCCACAGAGGAGAAAGACCAAGCCTGGTGAGCACTCTGACGGACAGGAGGATGGACGCTGCCCTTGGGAACCAGAACAAAGTGAAGTACATGGCAACCCAGCTGCTGGCCAAATTTGAGGAGAATGCGCCCGCCCAGTCCGTCAGCATCCGGAGACAGGTAAACGTGACCCGCGCCTCGCCACACAGATGTGTCAGGTCACACAAGAAGGGGATCTTTTTCTGTCCATTGAGACTGGCTGTGTCACAGATCCCAGGGTTCATGGGCTCAAGACTGATGTGTGGCTTGCCTCAGGCTCTGAGGGTTGCTCTGTCCTCAGCGTTGAGGCCTGAGATGTCCACTGGTAAGAATCAGCAGAGGCATCAAAAAAAAAATCTATATTTATATACCTGTGCATCTGTACATGTTTGCAGACATGTTTAAATTCTAGAGACGTACATGCTTACTGAGGAAAATGCTGAAAAGTACAGTAAAGGTAATTGAGCTACCTGTAATTCTATTAATATTTTCCTGCCCTTCTTTCTGGTCTTTTTTTCAGTGTATTCTTGTTTTGGTAGGTGATGTCATTCTTAACTATATTTTTATTCTCCTTTTTCCGTTTAACCTGAGGCATTCTGATGTTCCTAATTCTACAAGTGCCTTCTAGAATGTGGGGCCATCAGGCTTCTCTTAGCTCTTGCTCCAGTGTTGGGTGTTCAGGTTGTTTCTCATCTTTCATGATAAGATACAGAGATAAACATTCTGTGATAAAACTTCTTTTGTGTGTTGCAGCTGTTTCCCAGGACATTCTCCTAGGAATATGAGCATTTGAGTGCTAAGTGGCACTCCCACATGCCATGCATGAGAGTGCATGGCAACAGCTTGTGGCTTGGGGTGTCTTTGTTAGGGTGTGTCTCTCCCCTTGCTTGTCTAAAAGTCACTCTGACTTCTTACAAGAGGTGGGGCTGGGATTTTGGAGATTGACACTGAAAGTGTCTTATAAATCTCCCTGATAACTGAGAGAGGCAGGGGCCCCTTCTCTGAATTTCCCTTCTCTCTCTTCATCTTCTCCATGCCTATCAGCCTTTCTTCCTAGGGACCAGAGGGAGGGACCAGCTTTGCTAGGAGTCTGGCCGTAATGAACTACCTCCCAGTCTTTGCACACCAGTCTTCTCATGCTGTGGCTCACAGAAAAGGTGATGATATTCACTGACAAACAGTTGAGGTTATCTGGAGGCTCTGGCAGCCCCAGGTTCCCCTGCCTCGGGAAGGCTGGAAAGCTACCTGTTAAAGGAAGATTGCCTCTAAGAGAAGGTTTCTTTCCTCATTTTGGATGGGATTATTAGTTTTTCAAATCAGAATTAGTGGTTTAGACTCAGAACATGTAGCTTGGGAAAGAGATAATGGGTGTCACAGCTTCTGTTTTCCTTTTTCTTTTCTTTTGGATTTCCTTTTGGTTTGGGAGTGGGGGGCTCTTCACTTTAGAAGTGTAACTTTCTAAGAATGAATCCTCCCTCTTCCCCACAGCTCACAGATGTGTGGCTGTCCCCTGTGAGTTCTTCTGTTCTTCTCCCACCTTAATGTATTTCTATTTTGTTTTGTCTCCATGTCCTGTCCCCACCCACATCCTGTGTGTCCCAGCCGACACAAGAGCGTGGGGCCAGCCAGCCGTCCTGCTGCCTGCCTGGGCAGGGTCGCCCTGCCCCCACACCCCAGTGGAAACAGGTAAAGGAACTGCCAGGGCCGTGATGGGTGCTGTCTCTCAGGCCTTCCCACCTCTCCTCCTGAGCCATCCAGGGTTCAGGCCTGTGCTCTAGAATCTGAGCTCACGAGGGCCGGAAGCCTCTGCTCATTCAAGTAGTGGCCTGGGAAAGCATTGACCAGGCAGTGCTGATTGGTTTCGTGATCTGTGTAACTCCTGGGGATTTGAGAAAGAGTTGAAGAGGAGACTGTTGATTTGGTTTGAAACTCGCTGAAGCTGTGTGGTAGGTGGCTCACCCAAGGGTACCCTAGCCAAGGGTACCCTAGCTCTTGGGTTTGCTATTGTCACATTTGTTGTAGGTTGACTTTTTTCTAGTATGTCTCCTCGTGACCTTGGGAGAGAGAATTCTGAGTATGTCAAGCCTGAGAGTTGGAGTGTAGAGCCTTTTACATTAAATAGGAAAACGCTATCCAAGAAGAGTCTGGAACAGTGAGTTTTTGTTTCAAATCCTGGTTGAAAGTATTCCTGGGCATTTTCTTGGTGTTTTCTCTACATTTAAATTAACGTTTTTGGAAATTTTCACTAAAACCTTGGCAGGATCTCCTGGAAAACTGCTTATCCTGAGTAGTACAGAATAGCGCAGGTGATGACGTGCGCTTTCTAAGAGAAAGCTCATCAGAGGGATCGGAAGCCCTGATTGCGTTTCCTCCATGTCACAGCTGAGCAAGTCCCTTGGGAAGGCTCCACTCTCGAGTGGAGCCAGGGTTGGCTGCCTCGTAGTGTGGTGTCATTTAGGCTGCTAAGATGCTGAGAGGGCCGTGAGCTGGCCCTGGGTGCCGTCAGTATCTCCCACGGTCGGTCTCCACCGCCTCCTGTGCTTGAGGGTGACTTTACTGTCAGGAGATGCTGAGGAGTGGTGAGTTGGGTTTTATTTAAATCACATTCAGGCAAAAATGTTGCTTTCTAACCATTCTTTTATAACATAACACATCAAAGGCAGGGCCCAAGAGGCTGAGATGGAATTTTGGTAGCAGTATCCAAACTCACAACAGAAGGCAAATTTACCCTCTCCTCTGTCTGTACTTGAGGGAGGTCTTCTGAAAAATCTAATTGGAAAACCACTTGCATTTTATTTTCTTAACCTTTGCCTTGATGTCTAGGTGGAAGGTATGATTTGAAAGACGATGTTTAGTTGAGGGTCTGTTGAGGGGAAAGTGAACTGTAAATTGGATTGCAAAACCTCTTAGAGTATTCTCACAGGTGCCTGAGATAGGAGCAGAGGGAGAAGGGAGGTCAGGAGTGACACAGGCGAGCGGGGGAACAGGTGGCCGTGGCTGGGGTGGCTGGAATGGCGTTTGGTGGGCAGCTGGAAGTCTCCAGCAGCAGGTGCAGCCAGAGTGGCCCTATCCAGCCAAGGCCTCAGCCCTGGTGACGAGGGACGCATCAGCTCATCATGTGACTGAGCTGTACTGAAGGGGCTTCAGGAGCTTGGTGATGTGTTCACTAAGTGTCTGGTGGCCTGTAACCCTCATGCTGCATTCTCCCTGGAGAATGTTGGTAGTCCCCGCCAGCACAGCTTGTCACCTGAGTCAGTATGATCATTGTGGGGCACGAGACTGGCATGCCGTGTGGGCAGTGGAATAGAACCATGAAAGTGAAATGCAGGTTCTGTGGGATGGGCACCGGAGACCGCCGTTGGAAACAGTAGCTGGGCAGATGTAGAAATGAGACGTGATTGGTGAGAAATCATGAGCCGTGAGAACCCGGTTAGGTTCTCTGGTGCCTTAGGGGATATCCAGTGGGGATTTGCGAATTTACGTGGTAGCAGGGAGATGGCACTGTGAACCAGAACTCACAGTTCTTACATCCACGTGAAATGTGTAGTATTCACATAGAAATTTCTCAGCTCTAAATCGTGAGTTTGGGCCTTCTCAATTTATCTCCCGTTAGAGAGTTGGAGTTGCAGTGCCAGATACTACAGAAACCTGGGACAGAGGAACCCCAGTGGTACCCGGATCCTGCATCTGATGTCCCCAGTGGCTGGTCCTCCCCATCTCCCTTCAGGAAGCCGGGCTGAGTGGCAGCACCCTAGTGTGACTCATGGTGCTTCTCTGGAGGTGGTTCAGAGGCAGGAGGGCCTTACCTGGCAGGGCAGTGATAGCTGAGTTAACAGAGGGCCACTTTCAGCCCAGGTCATCATATGGAACAGGGAAATTAATAGCAGCTCTGCCTGCCAGTGGCTTCTCTTTATTTCCTTCCTTTGTAAACACCATGGCCCTTCCCTTCCCCACCCTTTTGCCTTTTGATCCCAGAAATGCATCCTGCAGGGAAGCTCTGTGTGTTAACCAGCCCTGGTTTGGAAGTAGATTGTTGCGGGAGCTCTGAGCGAGTGCGGAGCTGTTCCCCAGGCCTCGTGGCTTCCCTGCTCCCCCTCTCCCTGCGCTGTCCCCGTGGGTCACCTGGGCACAGTGAGATGAGAGTTTCCCTGGAAGGTATCAGAGAGGCCTGGGAATGTGTGATTGTTTCTCAAATACCAGGGGTCCTTCTATCCTTCTAAATTGTAGACAGACTCACGGAAGGGAATACAGTGGAGGGGGCGGAATGAGGGTAAAGCCGGGAATGTGTATATGGCATTTGAGTGTTAGTGAGACACATTTAATTTTTACATCATGCTCCTGCCTTTCTTGCACTTCCTTGTTAGTTTCCTGGAGCCCTTTGAGCATGAGTGCAGGGACCGAGAGGAGGGCAGCAGTGCAAGCCACTGTCACAGCTGCGTCCTGAAGGGGCTGCCACTTTGCTGCAGTGGGTGCGTGTGACCAAGCCTTTGAGGGGGGTCTGTGTCCCCTCTTGGTGGTTGGCTTGTTTGCCCTTTTTCTGTATTCATCAGCAAGCCTATTTCTTTCTTTCTTTCTTTTTTTTTTTTAATTGAGACGGAGTCTCGCTCTGTCACCCAGGCTGGAGTGCAGTGGTGTGATCATGGCTCACTGCAAGCTCTGCCTCCCAGGTTCAAGTGATTCTCCTGCCTCAGCCTCCCGAGTAGCTGGGATTACAGGTGTGTGCCACCACACCCAGCTAATTTTTGTATTTTTAGTAGAGACAGGGTTTCACCATGTTGGCCAGGCTGGTCTTGAACTCCTGACCTCAGGTGATCTACCCGCCTCGGCCTCCCAAAGTGCTGGGATTACAGGCTGGAGCCACAGCGCCCAGCCACAAGCCCCAACTTCCTGACAAAACTGTTGCTCCTGGCACCTGTAAAGCGCAGTGCTAATGATTCTCCCTAGTTCCGCAGATCGCTTCTGTGGCTGTGCCTGTCAGAAGGTTCACGTCCCACCTGGGGGTCCACACAGACCACCAGCCTGCCCCCTGAGGATGGAGGAGCAAGGAAAGGCCCCCTGGGGTACTTCTGATGAATGCCCTTCAGTCCTCCCGGAACCAGCCTCCACAGGGCCACTGTTTCAATAATGTTCTCTTTCTTTGTGTCTGTTGGTCTAAAAGCCACGGGAAAAGGAGTGTTCTCGGACCTGCCCCAAAAAAGTGATCACCCTGTCTCCTCCCCTTACTCCACCTCCCTGTCGGGCGTGTGGCGGCCAGCAGGTGATCCTCTCTGCATGCTCTGTCGTCCTGTCTGTGTCTCCCTGCCTGTCTGTGTAGGCGGCTATCATAGAGACCCAATCAGTTCCCTCTTACCAGCCATAACTGTCAAGAGGAAAGAAAGGCCATTCATAGAAACCATTTGTGAGGTAAGCAACTTTTATGGCCCTCAGGATGGTGCGTCCTGCATTCACAGCTGACCCTGGGCAGTCACACATCAGGGAAACACGACGGTGCCACTGTGAACTAGGAGCTAAACTATAACTGATGTTTGTCACATAGCTGAGCCCCCCAGCCCTCAGGGCAGCCTGTTTTTCAAGAACCCCACTGAAGGCAGCCCTTTTCTCTTGCTGCACAGTGAGCAGGGGTAAGGCCTTAGGGAGCTGCTACAGGGCCTCTCCACGTGAGTTTGGCTCCATTTGATTCTGGGAGCTCTGCCTCTTACCCGTTCAGCATCTTCCAACAAATACTCCTCCCACCCCTGTGCTGGCACACTGGGCAGACCATTCAGGAGCGGCTCCATAGCCAGCCACAGACATGGCCAGTGAGGACAGCAGGCGTGCAGCTGCGGCAAGACATTTGTAGAAATCATATTTGTGGTATGGCATTGTTGACCTTCGTGGTATGTTCCTATAAAGTAAAATGTGAATTCCAAGAGCAGGATCTATGGAAAGACATTTTCCCAACTAAGGTGGCCTATTTAAAGGGTGACTGTAGTAACATGACTGATTTTAAAGGCCCCACCTGTGTTCGTGGTTCTCAGAACTGAGCCATTGCAGGTTGAGCCATTGCAGGTTGAGCAGCTGCTGAGTGCCTTCATCTGCATAAGAGCTAGCCATCCTCAGCACCTGCTACCGCCTGGGAAGCACACTCAGTTCTTTTCAAGCAGTGTCTCTGTCAGTTCTCACAATAACGCTGTGAGGCAGGTGCTGTTACTGGCTCCATTTCACCGGAGAGGAGACTGTGGCATAGGATGGAGAGGCCACGTGCCTGAGCCACATAGTAAGCCATGCAGCCAGACTTGAATGTGGCTTGTGGGGCTGGGGCCACACTCCAGCCTCCCCCTGCCCGCAGAGACTTTATGCTCACGGCTGCTGGATAGGAGCAGCCACGTCAGAGGCCTTGGGGCCATTTTTCCACTGGCACACGGCTGTAAGCCTTAGCCATCCAGAGTGGTGCGAGCAGCTGCCCTGGTCCTGTGATTGCCATTCATGGCTCCTCAGATGCGCAAGGCCGTGTGCCTGCCTGCAGGTTTCTGCCCTCCCACATACACTTTCCATGTGTTCATCAAAAACACATGCACTTCTCCCTTCAGTAAGTTACGCTTTGGTCTCATGTTCCTATTCAGGGACCACTCCCCACTCTGGAGTTTCCTCTGGACTGCTGTCATAGCCATTTATATTCTAGCCAATTTCCACCTCCCCACCTTTCCTTCCTAAAATGTCTCGTTGTGGAATGTGTCAGCCTTTTAACCTGCCTCTCCTTGTGACCCTTCCGTTTAGTGCCTCTGATCTGATGCCACTGTGTGAGAGAGCTGTGCTTGTTCACCTGTGTACTAACCGCAGTTCCTTATTGATCAGTGTAGCCGGCCTCACTGGAGGCTGCGTGGGTGGAATGGCTGTGCAGAAGGCCGGCCTGTGTCATGGGATTTGGTATAGATGGGATTATGGTTACCTGGGGATGGAGTTCAGAGGGGAAGGATATATGTGTTGAACTCTGAATTTCTGCCCCTGAATTTCCCACTGTCACTTAGTAGGTCTGAATAGAGCCATATCCATGGAGCTTAAGTTTCTACTTTGTTGCCAACAGACATACAGGGATCTTGATGCTGACAGCCGTGGCAAGCAGAGCCCCCACCATGAGAGGGTAAAAGAGCATGAACCCACGGCATGGGATGCTGAGAGCCAAACAGACGGGGCACGCTGTGGTGGCGGGGCAGCGGGAGGGGATGTGGGAGGCAGCCCCTCCCTTTGCTTTTTGCACACTCTTGTCACCCAGCCAAGAGCCAGAGTTCTTTTTGCTAGCCATGTTGACCAGTGCAAATAGCATTCACTATAAAGCAGTCATCCACCTGGCATTCAGATGGGATGCTGATCCTAAGTGTGTGGCTTCTTCTAAAGGGCCTTAGTGACTTCCCATTTCTGCCCACTTCCCTTCCAAGACCGTACTGTTTCCACTCCAAAATACGTGCCAGTGGTAGAGTCGTAATACTGGACTGTCAGACGCAGCTTCGTAGGGGAAGGGCATAGATCAGCATTCACGCGGCATTCGACAGTCACGGATCCTGAAGTGGAAATCCTAAGAGAGCCAAAGCTCTTACCAGTGTGAGGATTTCCAGTCGGATGAGGATGAGGGGACTGAAGGCAGGTGATAGCAAGATGGGGCTGTACTGTGGAAAACTTTAGTCTTTCCTGAAAAACCAAGGGGGAAATTACTGATCGCAGCTGGCCATCATTTAAAGTGAACGATAGCTGAGATGCCCAGTTAAAGAAGCCGGTTTACTTCATGAAACTTTTGTTCTTGTTATTCCTACCCTTAAAGATCTCTGAGTGGGTATAGCTCTGCAGCTAGTGGGAAGAATCATCTCTAGTTGGTAACCTCACAAAAGCCACTTTGGTTTTTAACTCCCCGTCTGCCTTTGCTCTCTAAGAAATGCAGTATGGCCAAGCAGTAAATGAGGTTACCCCTCGGACCCGATAGGCACTAATCATAGTGCCATCTTCCTTCGCCCTCTTACCAGGCTAGCTGCAGGCAGTGTGTGTGCTGCCTGAACCTGGTGCTGGGTCAGGGAGAGGAGACTGGGCTGGAGGTGGGAGTCTTTCCCATGCCCTTTCCATGGCCTCGCCCCACTGTGCTCACCCTTTCTGGGGCTGCTCTTCCTCCCTTCTTCCCAGGCTGTGTTCCTTCCAAAAGGAAAGCGTCCTTTTCATTGAGTAGGGCAGTGCCCTCCATTTTGGGGATCACATATTTAATGAGATGCTGATAATGTTTAATGAAATAGTGTCTAAAAGAAGGAGGGAAGCATATTGAATAGGAGAGATTGGCAGTGAGCAGCAATTTGAAGTCTAGGGCTGCTCTGCCGAGAGGGGAAGAGGTAGGGTTTTGAGCTCAGGAGGAAGTAAGGTTTGCAGGGAGGTCTCTCTTTTTCCCCGTGAGCTGGTTTCTGCATTCCTCAGTCCAGGGCTCCAGGATGGATGCTTTTGAGGACACTACCTACGTTCTTTTCTTGGACTTTGCTGCCACCCTTCATAACCCTGCATGTGCACTCACCCGCCTTGTGTCCCACCTCTACCCAACCCCCATGCCTCCCCTTGGCTCTGACTCCTCTGCCCCCCAGCGGGTACTGAGTCCTCCTCTTGCTTCCTTCTGGCAGGTGGTGCGTACAGCCATCCTCCCTGGCTTTCTCTGGGGCCTGTGTTGTTGAGACCAGGGCCAGGGAGCTGGCTGAGTGTCTGAAGCAGAGGCTGGTGAGGCACCAGGCAACTGCCACTGCATGTTGCCACCCCACAGAACTATGAAGTGCACGTGGCTGAGGTTGAGGGTGTGACAGATCCGGCTTGGAGCTGGAGAAGCAGAGGGCTTCCTCGTACCATGACATAATGCTGTCCATCCACCTCTAAATAGTTTATTCTGAACCTGGTGGGAAACTAAGCAGTTATTGGTTGCCGAAACTTTCAATCACTGCCTCACTCTCTGGGGACTGTGTTCCTAGCTACGTGGGCCCACGACTGAGGAAGACCCTTGCCCAGTTTTGTTACATGTGCTGTGTGCAGTCTGCAGAGGACTTGGGCTCAAGCCTTTTCTCCTCATCTTTGCTTGGGATTCAGCTGGCTCCTTGGCAGGCAGACCCTCCCTGAGCACTAGCAGTGGAAGAAAGAGATGGTGCATTCGTGGCCCTTATGTAGAAGGAGCAAGCTTCACTCTAGATTTGCTGTCTCCATTGCCTGCTACTTATAAGGCCAATGGAATGATGGGGTGGTGGCAGAATCTTTTTGCCCTGGAGAAATCCCAGCTCAGTCCAGGGGATGCTCTCTGCAGAGCACAGAACATGTGAGTCGGCAGGACACCCCCTGCCCCTGCTGCTGGCTGCCTTACCCACACAGAGGAAGGCTGACGCTGTGCCGGGCAGCCCGCAGCTGCGGGACCGCATTCCAGGGCGTGCTCTGCTGCAAGCCTGTGGGAAGGACAGATAAAAGCAAAACGGAAGCCTTGCAGGGCCACTCATGCTTCTGGGAGCACGTGGTATTTAGTTAACGGTCTAGAGTAAAAGGCTCTACAGCTGCCAGCCATCTTATGTTCAGAGGTCAGTGTGTGACTTAATAACGTTTCCTTGATTTTGTTTTTCTCCGTCTTGTATTTTATAGCCAGAGCCTGAACCTCCTCGTCGATTTTTTGTCGACCAGTGGGAGCTTTCTCTTAGTCTCCGCTCCTCCGCCCGCCCTGCCTCTCCCTCCTCCGACTCCCTCCGACAGGTAGCATGGCCTAGGACCCACTGAACTTCTGCCCTCTGCAGCCTCCACTCACTCCCTTTCCAAGGGCCGTTGCCCAGGAGGTTGCAGGGCTCCTCACTTGGGCCTGACTCCTTAGGCGGCCGACTGCGTGTGTTGCTGGCTGCGTGTGCCGGTCTTGTGTGTGAGGTGCGTGGCACACTCCTCAGCTGAAGTGTCTGCTGGCTTTCCTCCAGCTGCTTGTCACATCCAGGTCTGTCAGCGTGAGCCCGCTTTGATCCGACTTCAACTGTATCAAATGATGATAAACATTGTTCAGCTGTTGGCTTTTTTAACTTCACATGTCTTCCAATATAACATGTTACAAAATAGGAACCACAGTGTGATTAAATCGCCTCAATGGAGGGGTGACATGCAGCATTCTGGCTGCCTGTTACCGTTTGAGGAATGAACGCCGCTGTCACCTGCAGTGGCGCTGGTCCTGTTGTAAGGAGTTTCTAGAGAGACTGGAAGGTCTCTTTGCACTTCCTGTTGCTATTTCCTGTTCCTGGGTTGACACCGGACCGCGAGGCATATGTGGATGGTAGCATATGCACACGTGTGGTGTGCAGCTCAATCCTGCGATTGCTGCATTTCCTCTATTTTTTAAGAGTGATGGGAAGGAAACCATCTGCTTTTCATGCCAGAAACAAATAGAACTTGAGTCTTCACCTCTCTTGGAAGGGGGATGCTCGTCAGTGTTGCTGCCTTGCTGGGAACTGAATGTGGCAGATACTTTTGTGCAAGGAGCCACGGGCTGTAACTGCTGAGGTTGATGGGTTTGGTCAGGGGAGGAGTGTCCTGGCTGAGCAGTGAGGGCCCAGGGCTGACTTTTCCTGGCCTCATACTTGGCATCTGGTCCACACTCCCCCGTGTCTGCTGCAGAATGAGAGTAATGCCATTTTATTCTCTCTCAGTGTCAGCTGTTAAGTTACCTACTCAGCTCTGCCTGGTGTCTGTCTGTCCCAAGCCTAAGCTTCTTTAGTGTCCCTAATCTAAAGAAGGTTTAGATCTAAGAGCCACTAGTTTGTCTTGACCACTAATAGGTCTAATCTGTGAAGTTAATGGGCAAATGGCACCAATCCTTAGGAATCTTGTTTTTGAATTAAAAGCTATAATTGCTTCTTCGGTTCAGCTGAGCCTTGAGCTTAGCCACAGGAACAGCTTCCTCACATGTGCGCCTGTGAGCCCCCCGAGCGCCTGCTTCCCCCTGCCCGGCATTTCTGTGATTCCTCCTCACACGTGACCTTATGCGTCTGTCCGTTCAGTCCATGTCCTAAGGGGGCTGTTGGCATCCCCAGGATAATGGCTGATGGTGAGTTTCTGAGTCAGAATTAGGGTCGGGTTCCCCCACAGGGCAAGGAGCCCCCTTACTGCATGAAGTTCATGAGAGGAGCCTCATACACCTGGTGGCATGGCCATCTCCACATGGAAGGATGACCTGGCTGTAGAGTCTCTAGAGGACTTCCTCTGGACAGGTCAGGGCGGGGCTGCCTGGGTGCCCAGCTTAGGTGTGAGCAGGGCGGCTCACGATGGATATGTGGAAGTTTCTCCTGTGGTTTCTTCAGCGTTGCCAGAAAGAGGCTTGAGTTTGTTGGGTTTTTTCTCTTACCTTTCTTCAACCTCGAAAATAATCCCTCCTGGCCTAGAACACATTCCCACCTCCCTGGGCTGGTGGAGCTGCCTGGCTGCATGTCAACACCTTGTGGCCAGCATGCCCAGCCCAGTCTAGAAGGCTTTGGCCTCAGCGCCTGGGTGGGCCATGCGGCCCTCATCGTGCTGCCCTCAGACCCCCAGTAACATCAGCAGGGAGAATGGGCTGAGAAGCCTTCTTCCAAAACAGCCTGGGAGCGTTCGCTGCCTGTGGCAGGCATTGTGGGTCCAGCGTCAGATAGAAGGTAGAGCTGGCGACAACCGCTACCCACGTAGAGGTGACCCATGCAGGAGCAAGAGGGGTTCCTTCTGATGGAGGAGGTGGCCTCCTGGACCATGGAAGGCGGGGTCAGCCTGGGCACCACTGCGTGCATGGGAGCACCCCTTGAGCTCTGTGAACGTAGCCAGGCTTAGCAGGACCCAGGTCCTGCCTGCCCTTCTATGTGCACGTTCGCCCTGCCTCTGCCGCCCTTCCCTGGAACTGTGCATTCCACAGAGATGGGAGAGAACAAGCTCTCGCTGAGGAAGATGCTTTCCCTGCACCCGTCCTGCCTGTGCTGGTACCCTGTGTGGACACTGACGCCATGTTTTTCTTACCACCAGTTTCCCTGCTTGTGAGCACTGTGTTGGCATGGTTTGCTGCTTCACCTTGTATTCAAATTGCACTTCTCAAAGATTTTTCTTTTTCCTGTGTCTTCTTAATTTATGTATTTTTTTTCCTTCTCATGTCCCTTCATTTATGTCATTTTGTAATCTTCAACCAATAGAAGTATATAAAGATGTACACGGGCGGAGTGAGCTCATTGGCTGAGCAGATAGCCAATCAGCTTCAAAGGAAAGAGCAGCCCAAAGCCCTTCTAGACAAGAAGGACCTGGTAAGAGACGCCTCCAGGCACTGTCTGGCTGGACCCAGCACAGCCGTGAGAAACACCTGTGTGTTTGAGTCGCTTATAACTTGTGCAGCCCGTATATGCCATGCGGTGATTGCTTTTGAGATTGTCTGGATTTTGATAACCAACTTTCTAAGACTGCAATAGTTGTGTGAAAAAGTGGTCACTCTAGAGTCTGGGGGACCCTCATATATTCATGTAGAACCACGCGAACACTGAATAGATACCGATACAGTTATCCTCGAAACAGAACTCTGCCAGCGTTTCCCTTTGAGCTGGGGACCCTCAGGCCCCTCCTGCCTTCTTCCATGTGTGTCTTTTCCATCATGCCCCTCCCAACTCTTCTAAACCCTCTCTCTCCATTGCTCTTTCTCTAAGACTCTTTCTCAGAGATATTTCCCAGCCCTGCCAGGCTGTGTCATAGCATTCCTCAGGTCTGGTGTGAAGCTCTGTTGGTGCTGGCTCCCTCGTCAGTGGCAGGCTGGCTTGGGCTCTAGCGGTGGCGCCAAGTGTGGTCTGCCAGCGCGGAGGCATTGAGTGTGGCGGTGCCATCGCTCTGCGGCAGAGACGAGAGCACAGTTGACCGTAGCCAGTTAGTAGTGTGTCTCAAAGCAGACCACTTAGTGCCGGCTTCGCTCTCACCAGGGCTGTGCGCCTCTAGGGGGGCCTGCGCGGCACTCCCTGAGGTGCTCCTCTTCCTCCCACCCACCGCATCCTGCAGGGCTCCATGAAGAAGGAGTTCCCGCAGAACCTGGGAGGCAGCGACACGTGCTACTTCTGCCAGAAGCGGGTCTACGTGATGGAGAGGCTGAGTGCCGAGGGCAAGTTCTTCCATCGGAGCTGCTTCAAGTGCGAGTACTGCGCCACCACCCTGCGCCTCTCAGCCTACGCCTACGACATCGAGGACGGTGAGACGCCTCGTGCCCCCGGCCCCACTGAGAAACTGTGCTTGGACATTGTTTCCCTTTGAGCTGGGGGCCTTCGGGCCCCTTCCTGCCTTCTTCCATGTGTGTCTTTTCCACCATGCCTCTCCCAACCTTCTCGCCCCTCTTCCTCCATCGCTCTTCCTCTAAGACGCTTATAAGTATTTCCCAGCATCACCAGGCTGATGAGAACGGCGCACATTTGCCTCAGTCAGCACCCCAACCTCACCGACGCTTACTTGCTTTCTGAGCTCAGGGTGGGAACTTGAGATAAAAGGAACACAATAGAGATAAGGTGTTTATCTTTACAGAGGGGACTTGCAAGTCCGTAGAAGTCGCATTTCACCTTAGGTGGATGATGACAGCAAGTTGGAGCTGGGTCCTAGGCCCCTGGGTTCTCAGACATTTGCTCTTGGAGGTGACTGCAAGGTGCCCCGTGTTAACACCTTCCTGGCTCTGTCTAATCTCTGTCTGGTGAATTGAGAACCGTTGCGCCGGGCCTGAGTCTAATTTACTGTGGTGGTCAAGGCCTGGTCTTTTGCAACATGTGCTGGTTTTTACAGTGAAAAGACCTTGGTGAGATAAACAATAGAGAATTACGCACACGATGATAGAGCCATCACGATGGGCAGAGGCAGGCTGGCCGCCATCTGACGACCCTGGATTGATGACTCCCATCTTATTCCTATTCCTGTAGGATGCTGGAGGGGCTTCATGGGAGGTAGTCTTATAGATTCCAGAGTAATGAGGGGCCTAGAGTAATAGGAGAGGCAGTAACCTTTTTTTTTTTTTTTTTTTTTTTTTGAGAGACGGAGTTTCTCTCTTGTCACCCAGACTGGAGTGCACTGGCACGATCTTGGCTCACTGTAACCTCCACCTCCCGGGTTCGAGCGATTCTCCTGCCTCACCCTCCTGAGTAGCTGGGATTATAGGGGCCCACCCCAATGCCCAGCTAATTTTTGTATTTTTAGTAGAGATGGGGTTTCACCATGTTGGCCAGCCTGGTCTCAAACTCCTCAGCCTCCTGAAGTGCTAGGATTACAGGCGTGAGCCACTGCACCCGGCTGAGAGGCAGTAATCTTTATAAGGTAACATAAAGTCCCTGACATTGATAGAAGATTGCTTGTCTATGAGATTATAAAGTGACGTCGTATAGGAGAGGGATGCCATGCTATTAGGACCTAGTCACTTTGGCCGTCCTGAGAGTGAACGAACAGGCACCTCTGTCACAAGGAGCCCAGAGAGGTGAGCTGAGAAAGGCTGTCATGGTGCCTGGGCCTCCTACTATGGTGCCTGGGTAAAACGCACTCCTGAGTGGGGAAGAACAGAAGAATTAGGACATTGTTTAGATAAGGCAGGCAGATTGTTCGCTGTCAAGTCTTCTGTTCTGCTTTTCCCACACACCTGCTCTCTGGTTAACACCTTTGATCTCAAGGATGGGGCCTGGCAGAGGGAGCCCACCGAGCCTCGCTCAGCCGCCCCTGGTGCTCAGGGTATTCTAGTTAGCCTCTCACCGTGGGGTCTTCCCCGAAAGAAGATGCCACAAGGTGCAGCTGATTGATCTAGGGGTACTTTTGCCCCTGGATGGGTGTGCATCTTTGCTGCATTCTGTGGAGGATGCAGAAGGATGATGGGTGCCTCCAAGAGCTCCCTTTCCTGTGGGGATGAGACCATAAAGAGTAGCAGGCAGCACAAGTGTGTGCAGTGAAAGACCCGGCCACACAGCCTAGGCTGTCGCTTCGTAGAAGCACAGGGGAGGAGGAAATCCATGAAGTTCAAGAGCAGCTTGGAATGACCTCCCCGACCCTTGGCTACACTTGCAGAGAGAAGGGTATGGTGGCTGAGTAAAGGGCAGAGGTGCAAGTAGGAGCTCGGATGGCAGTGACCATGAGGCCGGGCAGGATGAGGCCAGGCTGGTTGAATGCCATATTTTTAATACTGGAGCAGAGAAACGGCCGTGCTAAACCAGCTCCCCAAATTTTAACCCAGAGAAAATTTTCATCAGCTTAGTCCCTCCACAGACCTCTCCCTCATCTGTCAGAGGACAGGTGGACTAGAGGCAGGAAGGAACTTTAGGGTCCTGTTCTTTATTCAGGTTGCCAAGTGACTCAGAAATCTAACTGAAGAGCCTCAGAAAACAAAGAATAAGCCGCGGGAGTTGTACATGAGAAAGTAACCCAGGCCTGTGCTGGGCCAACACATCACGCCCTTTGTCCTCACCACATCCCGATTAGGTAGCTCTTTATTTTATTCTATTTTTTTACTCCACCTTTAAAAAAAAAGAGGTAGCTCTTTATTACTGTAATTAGAAGTCAGGAAGCCGGGTTCAGAGAACTTAGATGTTGTTTGTCCAAACTGACACAACTAGTCATAGCCAGCTTGCACCAAATGACACCCGAGATTCATTCCAGGTCAGAGATTTGGGGTAGTGACCCCAGGCCTGCTGCTGACTCCATAATAGAAAATTGAGAATCTTATTTGAAGATGTCTCTTTGTTTTACTTGGGGTGCTGTATGTTCTGTGTTCAGCTCTTTCTAGAGGTTGCCGTCTGCTCAAACACAGAGCTGCTCTTTCCTTTTTTGCAGAGCACTAGCTCATTTGTGATCGCTGCCAGTTCCTAAGACAAGGACCCTAAATTAGACAGTGTCAGCCCTTCCCTGTCATCTTGAGAAGAGACACACGCTACCTGCACAGGTGGTGTGTGCAGGATGGTCCTCGTCAGTGATGAGCCTGAGGTGGTCTCCATCCCTGCAGCAGCCCCCAAGCCAGCCACACCTTCCGCCTGGACTGCTGGCCTCGCTGCCTCTGTTACACCCCAGCCTGTCTCCACAGGGCAACCAGAGGGATTTTAAAAGGTGTGACTTGGATCTCACCAGTGTCCTAGCCACTGCTGTGCAGAGAGCACGCAGCCTTGTCCCAGGCAGAGAGGGCATTGTGCATCCACCCCAGCCTCTGCTGTCAGCTGCCCCCAGTGTGCTGTGCTCTTCTCTCCAGCGTCATTCCATCCCATACGCGTGATGAAGCCACTGCTCCCTTAGGACGTGGCTCTGTTGTGTCCTCTCCTGGAGTGTACCCCCAGGTCTCCACAGGGTGAGCTGCCTGTGGCCACCGTCTCCATGCAGCGCTCCTCAGAGAGGGTTCTGGCCCTTTGAATAGAGGGCAGCTGCCCAGGCACTGCTGTGCCCATGTGGTTCTGCATGCAGGCCTCTCGCTGTCTCATCTTACCCATGCGTCTCTGGAGAACCTGTCTGCTTGCCTGGGGGGCTGTCAGTGCTCAGATCAGCAGCTGTCATACTGTGGCACTCAGGCCTGGGGCGAACAAATGAACTAACAAGGGTCTGTTTGACCTTCAGTCCCCCTGTGGCCATCTGTTTTCTCCATTTCCCTTTTCCAGTCACACTTATATTCAATTATCAGGATTCCTTAATTGGGACCATTGAGAATCAGTCACTTGACTGAATTACCCGCAAGTCATAGCTAATTTTTAACCATTAACATAGGGTAGCTGGGTTTGCCACTGAGGCGAGCGTGGCAGTGTCATGGTAGTGCAGGCTCTGGTGCCAGCGTCCTGGGCTGCCTCCGCCTCTGCGGCTCACCGACTGTGGGACGCACCGGGCAGGTCCCTCGGCCTTCTGTGCCTCACTGCGAAAGAGGGGGGTACTGATGGCACCTGCCTCACATGCTCATCTGGGGACTAAATGAGTTGATAGGTGGAAAGCAGTTAATATAGTGTCTGGCACTTGGTAAACGTTAACATTGAGATTCACTTTTAAAAAAAAAATTTTGAAGCACAAAGTTCCATCATGTTGAGTTTGGGAAGGGATATAGGGAGATGTGTACACATGACTTGTGCATGTCATTGAGTAGCTCTACCTACGAGGCGGGTGCTGTGTTCACCTCCATGGGAGTAGCCATCTTCCAAAAGACTGGCAGGTTCACACAGCTGCTCAGCAGTTGAGACAGCACATAGTTAGCTGATCTCAGGAGCTGAGGTCACACTCAGTTAGCACTCATACTCCTCGCATCATCTGTACTGCCTTCCTAGAGAAAACAGTTCACTGGAACTTTTTTGTTAGGCTTGGAAAACTTGTTTTTGAAATGTAAACCTCTTTTCTTTATTGGTTTAGGATACCAGAGCAGGGTTCAAGGAGGATTCAGTTGAGTTCAATTGAGTAATAGTTTAAGATCTTGCAGAAACAAGCAAATTCATGTCGAAAAAAGTAGAAGAAAAAAAATAAAAGCCATGATAACATTTTAGTTTTCAGATACTGTCATAAACAAAGCTCTTGGTGACAAGTAATAGGATCACTACGCAGATTACAGCTGAAGCTTCGCTTTACAGCCTCCATCCAGATAGCTGTCTGCAGGGAAGGGCTGCCCCTTCCCTCCCCTTCACCATCCAGCGAGCCTGCCTTTAGCCCCATGCCAGTCCTCAGAGCACCCTGTTCTGGGCGGGGTGGAGGGAGTGGGTGCCCAGTGGCCTGGGTCATGCGTTACTGGTAGTGGAAGCTCAGGCCACTTGGTTGCCAGCCTCTGTCAGAGTCACATGGAGGAGGGCGGGGTGTTTCTTAAAGAATGAGATAAAAAACAGACCAAAGCAAGTAGCGTGTGATCCAAGCACTCACACGTTTTCTCTCACGCCAACTATTGGGGGCCAAAGTTTACAAAAGCTGAGTGGCTTATTCACATGGGGAAAAGCAGCTGTGAAGTGACAAGCAGCATCCCATGGCTGCACTCCCCTGCCAGAGAAGCAAGCATGAGACTGGCCGTCGTGTTCCCACTGTAGCATCTCTGCACCCTGGCCAAGCGGCAGCAGCCAGTGGCACATTCTATGTAAGAACATATACTAGGCATTATGAAAATCATATAAAAGCTATGTCCTTTTAATAGAGTTTCTCAGCATTGAATGGGGAGTGCAGGTAAAACTAAAGGCAGTTTCTCTGAAGGTAAAGAAGAAGGATATCATCAGATCATCAGGGAAAGGGAAGAATGCCACCTTACCTTCATTCGCTTTGACTTTTAGGTCCTCTTATTGTAGGTTTGAGATCAGGAAAGCTCATTTGTCTAAGGAGCGCACTCTACAAATGAGGAAAATGAAATGAGATGACTTCTGTTTCAACAGTTTCTATAGTAGGGTCTATCACTTGAGATTCAAAAGTCTTACCTCTTTTAAGTGAGAGTAAGAAGAGTCAGAAAAAATGACTGTGAAGTTAATTCCAGTACCAGAGTCATGGGAAAAGCCAAGCTCAGTGTTGTTCAGATTGTTCTGACTACACCCCCAGCGGGGAATACACGTTGCATTAAGACCCAGACACAGCTGAAAGTCCCAAGAAATACTGTTTTATTCTCATCATGCCACAGCACATTCTGGCTTCTGTTCTGTTCTGCTCTGTTCCATCCTACTCATAGTCCACTGCAGAATTTTTTGATGTGTAATGTCCTTTCCTGCTCTTCCTGACCCTCTGAGGGGTCACAGCCTGCCGTTGGCCCCGCGCCGGCTGGTGGAGGAGCGGTGAGGGGTAGGGTGCGGGAGGGGGAGCAGCAGAGGTAGGCCTGTCGGAGCCAGTGCCCAGCAATGCCCCACCCCGCAGCCTCCACGCCTCCACCCCACACTTGTATTCATTCGTGGTTTCCCCAGCAATGCTGCTCGCAGCGTTTCATGTGACCACGTCTTTGTTCCTCACACACTGCCACTTTGTTTGCTGGCCCTGCCACACAGGCCTCACATCTTTGCTCTGGGCACTGATTGGGTGATGGCTCAATGGCCTTCACATTCCCAAAGGAAAAGCCCCCTTCAGGCCAGGGGAGAGGAGGGCTGAATCAGAGTTTACCGGGAGGCACGGGCTTCTCTGGACAAGAAAGCTGGGCCCAGGGAAGGCTGGGTGGGTTGACAGCCTCTTGAGGCTGAAGGAGATGAAACGGAATGGCTGAGACCAGGGAGGCATGTTTGGGATCAGGACCTGGCTCATCGCTTGTGTCCCTGCCTCTTGCTGTTCACAGGTAAATTCTACTGTAAGCCACACTACTGCTATCGGCTCTCTGGCTACGCACAGAGGAAGAGACCAGCGGTGGCTCCCCTGTCCGGACAGGTAATGGTGACTATCCTGTAAGTGGGGGAGAAGCAGTGGGTGTTGTGGCAATGTGGCTGTGGGCCCACAGCGGCCATCCTGCAAACGCCCTGCGGCCTTGCCTCTCTTGGGCACAAGGAGGGCTCGAGATGCTGTTGCAGTCTTGGGTGGGGAGGGAACCATCTTTTCATGGGTGATCTGAGGTTGCCTCACTAAGGTAAGGCCCCACTTGCCACCTGAGTCGGGCCCAGGAGGTGATGCAGCCCTCCGTCTCAGCTGCATAGACATTCGCCTTTGTCAACAACACATGCACATTTCTGAGAGAAGGACACTGTGCCACTGGGGTGATGGCTACTCATGTTCCACATGATTAGAGCCCTCCTCCAGAAAGGCGGGGTGGGAGAGGAAACTGTCAGGATCCCTCTGCTCCTCGGTAGTGCCGCCCTCACTCCCCACACCCACAGGGTGCCCTGCCTGCGGGGCCTTCAGTTAACTCATGCTATGAGTTACTTGTCTGAGAACTTTTTCCTTTCTTATGCTCTTTTAAATGAGGGTGGCTTCTCCACCTAGCTTTGCCAGCGTGAACCCATTAGTCTCTTCAGCATGGCTGCCACCTTGCCAGCACGCCTGCCTGTCAGTCCCCCGTGAGGGGCTTCTGTTGCCTGCAGAGGGACTTGCAGGAAGAGATGCAACTAGGTGGATCTAGACCTTGACTCCCAGTGACTCAAGAGGCTGAGGTGGGAGGCTCACTTGAGCCTAGGAGGTCGGGGCTGCAGTGAGCTGTGATGGCGCCACTGCACTCCAGCCTGGGTGACAGCAAGACCCTACCTCTTAAGAAAAAATTAAATGTAAAACCAGCCTGTCAGATTGTCGCTTCTGGGGATTTGGGTGCTTCAGTCAGAGTCACTCTTCTTTTTCTCATGGACTTTCATAGGAGGCCAAAGGATCCCTGCAGGATGGCCTCACCACAGACGCAACTGGACGGGCCAACGCAGTGGCCGGCTCAACTGAGAGAACCCCAGGTAGCCTCACTTCCTTGTTTGGCTGGGTGGCGCGTCACTCCCTCGGCCTCTGTGACAAGGCCAAGGGCATGAGCCAGCACCTCCAAAGCAACATTTCTTCAATCGGGCATCAAGTGGCCCAAAACCCTCTGGACTCCTTTTTCATGTGCCAGCTGCTTGCGTTCGGGGTCCCCTTTCTCTATGGCCTGTCGGAGGTGCTGGTGCAAATCGGAGGGGAGTTCCACTGGCAGGCTGTGGCCCAGTGAGGGGACCGTCTGGTGGGCGGCAGAGCTGTGAGGCGCCATCCCTAGCCCCGTCCCGCACCATCTCACATCAGGGCAGCCCAGAGCCCATGTAGGTAGACAGGAGCTCGCAGGCACTGAGACAGGCTGCTCCCGTCACCACCCCTTGTGAGGCCAGGGCCTTCATGCACCTGTCTTCAGGCTCCTCTGGCAGCATGGAGCTGTGTCGATTAAGCCCTGGGGTCTGGCTTTGTATTTCCCTGTGTTTAAGATTCTGCGTCCTGTTCCCTGTCGCCGCTCTCCCATCTGCTCTACACCATGATGGGGCATGCCCTGCCCTGACCCCTTGGCCACTGGGCTTCTCATGAGGCCCCAGCGCTAATCCATCCCACTTTCACGACCACTCCTGGTGTTGGGAAGTGAACACCACCATCTCTACCTCTAAAAACACATTTATTCTGCTCATAGCATGGCAGGACTTGCAGGGTTTGTGGGTACAAGGCCTGTTGGGAAGAATTATGTAGGTTTTTTCCCTAAAATGGCCTCTCTTAGCTCCATGTAAAACTTACCTGTGAGATGCATCCACAGCTCCACAAATTGCCGGGTGTTCTGAATGCCTCAAATGCAGCTCCAGTTGGCTCACGGCGCAGGGTCACTGTGGTGAAAGGAGGTCAGCAGGGCTGTGTTTCTGCCTGTCACACTTAACTCTTGTTCAAAACACATGTATCTCAAGCAGCTGTGTTCAAAACTCAGAAAAACTGAAGATGGTTAGCCAATGCCAGAAACCATGGAGAAGGACTTGGTAATAGAATTTCCATGGTGGGACAAGAGAATTATCCATTTGGCCTTCAGTGAGAGGCTCCCAGAGTTGCATCCTTTCCCTTCCTTGAGAGCTGGTTCATGCAGGCCTTGTGGTCCTCATCCTGGGAGAGGGAAAATGCCCAGAGGCTGGGCAGTGCACCCTGGGAGCAAGGAGCTGGAGGCTGAGACCCAGCAAGCCCCAGGCAAGCGAGTTGAACTCAGCTCCTGCTACTGCACGTGCCCTTATTATAATCTGAGCAAGGTTTTTAAGTGCCCTGCAGGTGGGACCAACATTTTATAGCCATGTTTCAACCATTAATGACTTAAACCTTCTACAAACTTGAAGATCTTTATAATCCGTCTTTCTCATGAAGTACCAAGAGCCCTTTGCAGCTGACACTCGGAGCGTGGACAGAATCACTGGCAGAGAAAAATAACCCCAGGGGTCTGGCCTTATGCTACAGAACGCATGTTGGGTTGGGGAGAGCGCCACTTTATCAGTCTGGGCCCTATTCCAGCAGAGATGGATTTTCTGAGGAACCCAGCTGCCAAGTAGAACATCTCAAGGAAATTAAACTGCATTTGGGTTTGAAGTACAGAACATTCTTTAAAAAGAATTAAACATAACGAAGTTTAGGTTATTCCTCAATGAAGCCAAGTTTGCCGACTTTCCTATCTGGTTCAGGTTGCCATTCTTGCCATCTAATTGAAAGTATAATGGGTTTCAGGTTTTTAGGAGTTCTAAAGAATTAAGGGTTCCATAGAGAAAAAGAAGAATGTTCTACATAGTGAGGAGACAGAATAAGAAAGGAGAGTCGGCAGTGCGGTGAAAGAGCAAAACCACCAAGAAAGAGTCAGCCCTGAGGACGTCTCTGTCCCGGTGGTTCTTGATTCTGAGCAGGCGGTGACTTGCTTCGTATAGCATAGGAGTTCAAAATGTGTTGTCCCAAAGGAATCGGAGTGTGGACCCTTTCGGTGAATGACGGGCACTGTCCCCCAGCTTGGGTGGCAGAGGCCAGCAAGCTCAGGGCCGAGGGGCTTAGCCTGCGGCAGCTCAACATCTAGAGCATGCTTCAGGCACCTTGCCTCCCTGTGAGCTCGCTCTGCTGCCAGCCTTGGTAGAAAGGGAACAGGATGATGGGTGGTGTTTTATGGTTGGCATGAAATAGATACCTACTTTGATAGAGATTTCCTTCTTTCAGTATGAAAGTGAAGCTTTGATGACTTAACTAGATTTCCTTTTGAAAAGCTTCAGAAAAGCTCGGGTGTTTCAGGGTCCCAGAATGAATGTTGTAGAGAGCAGTCATTAGCCCAGGCCCATGGTAGCCGCCTCCGCTGTCACTCGACCAGAAGAGGCGATGATGAAGGTGCTTGACTCCTGTGTGTGACTCGGCCTTCCCCCGAGACCTGCTTCCCCAGGAGGCAGGGCTGGTGGAGCTGTGACTGGGCAGTGTTTCACCCGGCAGTGCTTTCCCTCTGCGCCTCCTCTTCTCCCTTATGTTCTTTTCCTCCTTGTGCCAGAATTCTTGCTGTTGCCAAAACAAAAACAGAAAACCACACCCGTACCTAATTACAACCCACAGTTCAAAGGACCCACTCTAGGTCTGCTGTAAAGTGTCACCTTTCTCTGGTAACCAAATCTGTGCCTGCTGCCTAATTTAGTGTTTGGGGGCATTGTTTACAGTATTTTTGTTTGTAATGTGCTTTTAATCTAGAAATGTTCCTCCTTATTCTTAAATCTACAAATGCTCTGTTTCCAAGCTTTTACTTAAAACTACATATTAGTGGTCCTGGCACAGATTTTCTCACCCTGACCTCGTGCTACCCACCATGACTAGACAAAGCTTGAACAGCAATAGGCAGAGGAAGGAAAACCCCACATGGGAAGACTTTCCCCTTGGACATGAGAAGTTCAGCTGCAGGCATCTTGAATTCGTTTTTGTCCAGAGGGACCCTCTTTTTATCCGATACGGTAGATGACCAAAAATGAAGCAGGGAGGCCGAAGGCACAGCCGGAAGGGAACAGAAGAGCTTTTCCCAGGACTGTCATCACCTGGTTCATTGGCAGGGCCGGCCGCAGAGACGGGAGGGGAGAAACACGCTAGCTTCCTGTCCTCTTACGAAAGCGACGATCTGAAGTCACAAGTGGCAGTTGCCTGCCCCCTGTCCCCAGACACTCCGTGTCTGGTAACCATGAGGTTCCATAGTTCGGATCCTGAATGGGCCATTAGGAAGTGCAGGCCTTTGCCACACGAGCTGGAAGGTAGCCAGGCAGTATCATTTCCTTCAACCCTGGGGTTCCCACCTGACGGGGAGTTAGGAAGTCCTGCCGCTTCCAAAGTCCTCTTCCCTTCCAGGCATTTGTGGAAAACCTTTTAGTAGAGCAAGAGAATTCTGCAGTCCAGCTTACCTCACACCTTACCCCAAGAGCCACAGTGGACGGTGGTGTGAGAATGTTTATATATAGGTACACATTTATATGTATATAGACCTAATTGCACATATACGGGTAGATATTTATATATTGCACCCTAAATTATAGTAATAATAATTGTGAAGCTGTTTCTAAAGCTTCTTGTTCCTGGTTCTGAGAACCACAGGAGCCTCATACTGGGGAGCTATGCCCCTGGTCAGGGCTTTGAGGGTGCACAGCAGCCCAAGAGCAGCACGCCTATAGGGAAATGAGCGGGTGGGTATCTCAGAAAATGAGCAGCACACACCCCCAAGAAATGACCTTAAAAGCAAACATGGAAAGCAGGGGGCTGCTGCTGGCAGGGCACCACAGAGAGCCGGGCACCCACATCACCTGTCTTGTGTCTGGCTTGCACACTGGCTCCCCTGAGGTGGCTGTTTGAGCTCACTCCTGTCTTCTGGTGGTTAGTGCATCTTCAGCTCTTTCCTGCAGGACACTGGAACATTCTTAGGCTGTCCCAAAAGGGGTTCCACCATAGCCTTGAAGTCCTGAGCAGGGCATAAGGGGTTTACTTTTCCCCTGAGCCATTTAGTTGGGGTGCAGGTGGGAGGGGCGGGCAGCCAGCCGGCTTCCCAGCGGTGGTACAAGAGCCCAGCAGGAGAGGATTAGCTGTGCCAAGGAACTCGCTGCCTGTCTGCTGCCCACTTGCCCTCAGCCTTTATTTTTGCCCTTGTTTTTAACCTGTGTTGTTGTGAGTTCTTGGTGTGTTTCTTTGTGAGTTTTTATTTAATTGTGTAACTCTGTTTTTTCTGTTTACTGTGAAACCAAGGTGTCATGCTTTTAATTTTTTTTTTAATCAAATGTTACATTCTTATTTAAGAGAATAAATTCCAAACAATCTTCGGGTTTCTGAGTTGTTCTTTTCCTTCCCTTTCTCTTGACCAGAGGGTGGGACAGGGGGAAAGTCAGGCAGGTCTCGGGAGTGGGCTTGAGGCCCAGGACCCCCACTCCTGTCAGCAGAGGTGCAAAGTGGGGAAATAGGTTTTTATACCTGACGCAGGTCCTTAGCAGAGGACTCCTGTGTAGGGGCTGGAGTGGTGCAAGAAGTTTTGCTTTGCGGCAGCTGCGAGTGAAGAAAAGCAAGAAAGATGCCACCTGTGCCCATGGGCCTCAGGTGTGGTAGGCCAGCAGGAGGGCCCGCGGGATGTGTGGACGGAGGGGTAGAAATGCCACACACAGCCTGGTGAACCATAGGGACGTGGAGCCAAGCACCTTCTTCCTGCCTCTGACTGGCAGGGAGCCGGGGCCAGGGTGTGTCTCCTCCACCAGGCATGCCCGCAGGCGCAGCAGCCTTGCTCCTGTTGAGGTTCAAAGTTCTTGCTCTTTCCTCCTTGAGCTGATTTTTCTCTCATGCTGTCTTTGGTGTGACCTGGACACTGAGCCGGGATATCTGATTCTGTTTGGCCGTTCTCCAGCCTGGGGGGACTAGCCTGTATTAAAAACAGACTGTCCCCTTCTCACACATGCCGCTGCTCACCTTAGCAGCCATGGCACTGCTCCCACAT